AAACCAAATTTGTTTATTGTGCGTACAAGTGAGTGGCTGCATAATTTGCTTCTAGTTTTTGATATGAATACACTAATCTTCTATCATACCTACCTATACAGAAAAAAAAATAATGAGTAAAAACAATCAATGAGGATTAATGTATTTTCGATAAAAGTCAAGTCAACACATTGCTTTCGTCTAGTCTTTCTATATAGTTTCCGGTGCTGAAAACTATATAGTTCGATTCCCCGAATTCGTCATTGTTTTAGTCGTGGCCTTGGAATACTGACCTAGAGAAATTTATGACGACATAAACATAATATATTATTTTATTTATATATATATACAAATATATATAATCTATCTACATCAAGTTTTTTTTCTTCTCATTGATCTGCTAATTAGACGATATTAAATACAATATTCGCGCGAACCGGGTTCGTAGTTAGGCGCGTTGAATCATCACGGTGACTGGTGGCCGCTTAAAATACCAGGTAAACGGTTACGTCAACCGCGATATTAGTATTATTATATTATATATACACGCATTGCACACGCGCGCATGTACGTGCTGAAGTCTCGTGTAATATAATAATATTATGTATGTTATACGACGTCGGCAGCACTATAAAAGTCGTCTCGAATGCGTTCAGCTGCCATATAGGCGTCTACAGACATTTTTTTGTGGGGAGAGAAGGACAAGCTCTATATCAATGTTTATAATAATACAATACATGAAATATCGTGCATATAACTACTATATACACTTTTTAATATATATTGTATATTATGTATTTTTTGATAGAATTTTGATTATTTCAACTAGTTTTTTTTTTCACGATTTAATTAAATTGTAGTGAAATCAATGCATACATGGCATTTTATTATTGTTGAAAAAAAAATTAATAACTTCTCTCTCGCAGTATTTTCCAAAATGATTAAAATGATCCAAAAATATTAAAGACTCAATTTTTACAATATTATTAACATTTAATTATAACTCATTAGCATTGAGACCCAATATAATATTACCAAAGAGTAGATCTCCAAAAAGCCATAGGGGCAAATTCCATACATTACATCCATCTTATCTTTTAGAGCCCATGGTTGCAGTATTGCTGGAGGTGACGATGACGCGACCCCGCCACAGCGTAACAATATAAATATATAATACACATTAACATAATATTATGTATTATATTATGTACCTATATAATTGGTAATGTTTGTTACAAATACGGGGAAAGGTCGATTGACTGTCCCCCTCCCACCCTCGGGGGCCTATATTACTAAATATATTGTCGGTATTTGCTCAATAGATATTTTGTTATGTTCATTATTACTATTATTTATTAGTTTCATACAGTGTGCTACACTAATTTTTGTCATTTTTTTCAGTTTTGCTCTTGGTTTTGTTTTTACGGTGCGTCTAATATATGAGGTTAATGTTGTTTAAGTTTTTCGTGTAAAACGTTTTCTCTCGAAATCGCACGAGTTGGTTGATAAAATTATTAATTAGTGTAGCTGGCGAAATATATCACTCAGTATATAATACAGAATATAATATCATGACGTACAATGAACAGGTATTACGATCCACAGCCGCTGCTGTGCTAATTAGAAAATATATCTTATACTTGTATAATATTATAGTTGTATGCATATAAATATGCATCGTGCTATGAGTACCGACAATGAGAGTTCGACCTCAGGTTGTGAGGTTTCGCTGTTGTTGGTTTTCCTTACCCCGGATCTTTTGTTTTTCTCCGAGGTGAAATTGTTTTCTTAGAAAATCCGTAAACACGCGTCCGACAACGGAGAATGCGTTTGAAAAACGTCTCCGAACTCCGAAGTCGGCCACTTCACTGACCTTATGTAACAACTAACAACAATATTACGACGACGGCTGTATGCGGTATTTATTACCTAAGTATATAATATTATGTATATTATTATATTGAATAATTTGTTATTAAACTGAAGCGGGCATTAGCTTTAAATTATCAACAACACTAAACATATTGTTCGGTTCCATTATCTGAAAATCAATACATCATTAAAATGCTTCGTTTTTTTTCGTTCTGGAGTCATTTTGGTAATACTTTTGTGCTTTTATTCCAAAAACTAATAAAACGTTTGTTTTTTTCTTGTAGGTTAGTACCTATTTTAAATTACTATTATGAATGAGTTAAATGGAAAATAAATATACAGGTTTAATCGTATCCACGGGTATAATAACAATAATTATTATATAATATACATAGGACCACCCTAATCCTTGAGCGTCCACTGTTATTTTCGAATAAAAGCTACGTATATAATTTAAATAAACATCTCAATTTCTTTTTTTGATTATTTAAATGATATATTTTAAATGCCATGTTCTTGTTACTTTGTAAGATGTGTGGAATAATTACACAATCGTTTTATAAGCATTTATTTTTAGTTACATATGATAACGTATTAATAATTAATTAATTATACACAATGTTACGTTTAGCATACTTTTTGCGTAGGTTTGCTTATTATTTTAGTGCCTTCTCAAGAACGTGTGATGCATTATATTTTATATATATATGCCTGAATTGGGAATGCATATGAGCACAATTATATTATAATCTTTTAATTATTTTCGCATCAAAATGTATATTGTTTTGTATGTACGGTATATTTTTATTTAAATATTAAAATTAATGGTTTTTCTTTTCGACTATAAAAATTCTAAAAATATTCTTTGAAATGTGACTATTAAACTAATCTTATATATAGGTACCTAACCTATTACCTATACCTATACCTATACCTATACCTAATCCTACATATTTTTAATTAAAGTTAATGCGTTAAGAGACCTTTTGTAGAGCTATGTGTGGTTTTTTTATTTCATTTATTCCCAATGAACCTGAAACCTTCGAGATAACATTTTCGATAGGTATTACTTAAGATAACATATTTTGCGATAAGTGTCATGATATAAAATTGTACTTATGTTTAGTATTTAAGATATATTAAGTATTTATAATGTTTGGTTTTTAATTTAAATCTTAAAATATAATATTAGGCACATAAGTTTAATTGATGTTTAGAGCATAAACGATTAAAAATGTGTGGATGTTTAAACACATAATATAAGTAGGTACTCATATAGGCACTTTTATACAATATACACATTATAACTACATTGTTATTTTTGTTCATTCAATTTTTCAAAATATAGTTTTAATCTTTAAGGTTCTGAAGATTTATGCTGATGTATAAATGTATTAGTTTAAGGTATGGTATAGTGCACTAGTGCCAAAGCCAAATTATGATTTCAATTGGAATTATTCCATCTGATGTACCCACTTGACCGTCTGCCAATCTAAAAATGTGTACCATGCTACCATTTATTACATATCATTGTCTCTAGTTAATTAAGCTGAATGTGTCATTTTTGATTTTAAAAATCTTTGCCAGAAAGTTTTCGTTGAAAATTTGATAGTTTATAATTTAATCATTATTTATAAATTTATTGAGGAATTCTTTGTTTTTTCGTTTTGCATTTTATTGTGCAGTTTATTTTATAAACAAGCAGAATTTAACATCGTTGTCTGATAATAGGATATTAATAAGATTAGAGGACAGAATGTCTGCATTTGTTGTATCCGTCTTACAAACGTACAGTATGGAAAATTTGAGTTCAGCCGAATACATTTTGTGTTGATGGTGTTTTATTACAGTATAAATTGGCATATTTTCAAATTTTAAGGTAATGAAATTATCTGTGTTACCTCGTCGATTTTTTCGATGTTTTAATTTAAAGCTAGTGGGTTATGACTTATGACCATTTTTAAATGTTTATATTTTACATAATTATATACTTATAACTTATTTTCGTAATAATATGTCAACATTTTTTCTTTTATATCAAAAAAAAAAAAAAAGTGACGAGAGAATAGATAATATCCTTTCAATTTGATGACAGGTTAATTTATACTGCGTAATATAAGACTCACAACACAAAATGGGTTCTTTTGAACAATAATTTGCTATATTGTACGTTTATAAGATTGAGATGACACGTGCGAGCATCATGTTCTTTTAATTTTTAATTATAAGTTATTGAAATTTTATAGGTATTTTTTTTTTTTGACACGATGGATTTTTAAAAATATGGAAGTGCCTAAATCCCAAGTATATTCATTAGGACATTAGGTACAGTTTTCAAAATATCTATGTATATTGAATATGACAATTTATTATTTAAACACGGCGTGTACGATGACATATGTAATGGAACGGTTATAATTAATTTGGTTTGTCACAAAAATAAAAAATAAATATGAAATTTGTATTGACTTTGCGTCTAAATGAATTATCATAATAATGTGTTTTTGTAAATATTATCTTATAGGTACTATCTACAAGTTAATATTGTATTAATTATTATAGGTAGCGTATTCCGATTCCGAAAACAACGTTTATAAAATTGAAATAAACTGTAGTGCTGAATGAAACTGTACAAAGATGTAAAATGTTCTAAATAGGTCGAAGAAAAAAATCGAAGCGAAATGCATATAAGCGATAAATAAATTCTTGTAAATTCGATTACGTTTAGCCGGAACGCTCCCAGATAGAGTAATTACATGGTATTGCATGTCTAATGAATATTGTTATATTGGGGTACAGAATAGTGTTTTTGTTACTTGTTATACATTTTAAAATTTAGAAATGTCGCAATTCGTTTAGTTTTATGTAAATTTATTTGTATTATAATAACTAATAAGTACGTCATGTTAGATGAAGTTTTTTTGCAAAACTTATATAATATTATGTACATAATGACGTGGCAGAAAGTTATACATAGTGAAACGTATATTATAATTTAAACCTAAACGTATATTATATAGGCCGTACAATAAATGGTTTGCTTGTGTAAACTGTTATATGGAAAATATATTTTTAAGTTTTTAACCGATAAAAAATAGACTATAATCTTATTATCTTTTAAAGCTAAAGTTTTTATATTTTGTTTTCAGATGAAAGAGATGCCATACAGAAGAAAACGTTTACGAAATGGGTGAACAAACATTTGAAAAAAGTGAGTTCTGTAACATTAGGACTTATAGTGTATTATATTTTACTATATGTATATTTATATCTATTATAATATATAATATGAATTCAAATAGGTATGGGATTTTAGTTAATACAAATAATAATGTTAATGTTATACTTAATAACATGTAATACGTATGTATTATTGTTTAACATAAAATTCTTAAACTTTGAGTTTAGTTTTATAGATAGTACCAGCTATAGTTGTTATACGTATTAATAATTATGCACATGTCGAGCACAAAATATAATATATTATACATTCCCATTATTTGAATAGTGAATTGCATCGTTTTTGGTCACAAAGGAGTCTTATCATTGAACAAAACAAACAAACGCGAATATTTATACTTGTTGACGTGTATATAAATATTTTTATTACCTAGTCACTTTGTTATGCTTAGTTGAGCCTGGAACTTTTTTAAGTAATAAAAATATATTGATGTTCAAAAACATAATTATATTTATATTTTAAAAATAATTATGGTCTGACATTTAAGAATATATCTCCTGTTTATATTGCTTATACGGTTTTGAGTGATACCTATATTTTTACGTTATGTCACAATTTTTTCTGTTACTTAAAATTATTAACTCTCATTTGACTCTCTTGTAAAATTATACACTGAATATTTAGTTTTACAGTTAGCAATATTTTTATAAATAAAAATAAAATAAATATGTTAGATCTTATGTTTAAGCATGGTGGAGTATATTATTTATGGATATAAATAATTATAATAATAATAACTTTATTGCAACAATAACTTATCTTTACATATTTTAACAAAATATTATATATACATTTATGAAATAACAATATTTATGAATTAACAATATTGCAGCACCTTCAAAAAGCAAATATTATGCTGGGAGAACAAAATCTTAAAAGGAAAGAAATGTAAAATATAAGTATAAGCATAATAACAAATGATAATTAAAAATACAATTTATAAGACAGTATAAGGAGACTTAATTAGAATACCCACATAACGTAATATAGAGCATCTTAATGGGGTAAAAAATCTAATAACATGACATATATATTTAATAAAGTGCTAATTATATTTTCAAAAATAACTCATTTAAAAAAATTAAGGGCTTTTGTACGGCCATATGAGATAGTTTTAAGATTAGGTTAGCGTACAATATTGTACTGTGTAATATATTAAATACTCATCATAATATATGTGCCAAAACAGCTATTTAACATTTTTTTCAATTAGAAATGTTTATTTGTATTGTAGTAAGCATAACCTGTAAATTATAATATATTACACAAATAACTGAGGATATTAATATGTTGATTTAGTCCCCTATGTAGGCTTTTACAATTTATTAATATTTTATTAAAATAAATAATAAATCGAAGTTGACTTTAAATTATCACTTACATACAGTAGCAATTTTGACTAAATTTCAAGGGAGAGAGGCAGTGGCGTAATTTGGTCATGGTTGTGGGGGGGGATGAAATGTATGTACATTTCACCAATTACCCCCCCCCCCCTCAACATTTTTTGTTTAATCGTATAAGGCATAAGCTATAATCAATAAGCACCCCTCAATACAAGAATACAACCATTATGATCTGTATGTAATAACTAGTAGCCGGAATTATATTCTTTTGCATATTTTTTTTGAGTCTACGCAGTCAGACGGGGGTTCGAAATCTTTACAAATCATGAAACAGGTGAGTTAATGGCAAAAGTTTATTTTGCATATTTGGGAATATTTCAAGATAAAAGAATATTTTGTATAATAAAAAATATTAGAGAATATATCGATTAATTTTTGTAGATGTTCGATATTTTTTGTTGCAGTGGCCTAAATAATATAAATAGGACATATAAAAACATTTTAACCGACCGTTGTACAAATATGACATCAGGGAACATGGAACAAAATATAGTTGTCAACTGTTTTCAAAAATTTTCTTAGTTAAAAATTTAAAATAATTAAATATTAAATCAAACTTTTCTTAACAAGTAGTATTTTTTTTTTATTATGTAGGTACCTATTTAGTATTTATATCAGGTTTTTATATTATTTTGCATATTATGTACCTATTTATTTATATGAGTTCGTATTATTTGCTTAATTATTTTGCATATAAATGCATATTTTTAGTTCAAGAGAATATTTTAATAAAAAAGCATTTTTTTTTGCATATTTTATTATTATTTTTAAAGAATATTGGAAGAATATTTTCAACTTTTTAAGAGAATATTAGCATCTTATTTTGGCTATTTTAAAAGAGTATAATTCCGGCCCCTAGTAATAACTAATATTGTATATACAGTGTGATCACGATTTTAGGTACCACTGAATATCTCAGATGGGTGACTTTGTATTGAAATGGGGTTTTCGGGAGGTGATAGCCGATATAGGAAGCACTTAAATACATATTTTTAGACCAATTTAAAATTTTAAAAAATTTTTTAAAATATGTATTTAAGTGCTCCCAATCACCTCCCGAAAACCCCATTTCAATACAAAGTCATCCATCTGTGATATTCAGTGGTACCTAAAATCGTGATCACACTGTATATGATAATATTGATGGATTATTATATATTTGTATAATATTATGGAGATTCGGGTGATTTTTGTATTATCTATGAAATATACATTAATAAAATTAGTACATAAATGTACATAAAAAAAAAAAAAATGGTCAAGGGGGGGGATACGACACCCAAATCCCCCCCGTAATTACGCCACTGGAGAGAGGCATATTTATTGTGTATGGCACAAGAGAATTTGTTTTATTTCTGTTACAAAGACTAAGTACATAGGTGCTTATCTTTTTATTATTGTTATATTTTAAAACTTTTTATACTATTATAATAATAGCCATAAAATATTATTTTTAAATGTTTATGTTATATTAAAAAGGGTTAGTCAAATTCCAATTGTGAAGTGGGGCAATCGTTTCAATCACACCTCTCTCAAACAGTCACTGCTTACGTAGGTTAAATAACAATTTAAATATTGAAAAAAGTCCACCCACATTATATATCATTAGATTAAGACCACTTAAGGTCTTTTTTATTTTTGCACCACGTGAGTCAATAAATACCAGTACCTATCTGATTGAAATAAAGTTAGGCTATGACCTATGAGATTAAAAACGTCGAGTTTTTGTTTTAATAGTTTGCATACTTTCTTAAAAAAAGACTACAAATGTTAGCTTTTAAAATGTCATGACAATATCTATATTCAGTAATTTCGAGAGAAGGAATTCTAAAGTCCTCGAAAAATAATGTGAATTTACAAAAATTCTTTATAATTTTTTTTCATATGGCTTATTCATATTTATGGATTACCTATTTCATTTTGATTTTATATACTCTGTATGTCAAAAAATGTCCTCAAAAGTCTAAAAGCTATAAAAATTTGTAGGTACCTCCTACGTATAAAATTATAAATGTCGCTGCCGTAAACTTTTAACTTTGAAGTGTCATCTTTTTCACCGGACTTAAATAATATACTTTATAATAATATTCATAAATGATTAATAGATGTGATATGTACCGCATTTATTTTTTTGTTATAATATATAGGTACCTATTTATACTTAATTTTAGTAATACATAAAGTCAATACATTAATTCATAATACATTAAGATTTTTGAGAACTTTTATGATAGTTTTAGTGCATTTTTGTAGATACACTGAAATCTTTCGCTGAATTTTCGGTTTAGTCAATTTTCCGTTAGAAATTCCATTATTAAAATATATACAAAATTGAATCCAACTTTATCATCAGATAATAATGTAATGAAAATAATAACGAATGGTTTCGATAGAAGTTGGATTTAGATACTATATAGGTATAATATATATTGGTTGAAATATATTTCGTAGGTAATAGTTAAAAATATTGGCGGCTGAATTAAATTTGGGAAGCTTTATTTATTCTGTATCCTCTGATTAGAGTTTTGTTCGTCTATGAATTACCCTAAAACAAAATTACTTAAAATACATTTAAGTCAATAAGACGATTATTCATACAACCCAAAAAATTATAATGCATCAACATTTTGTTAAATAAAATGTACGTCATCTAACTATTAATTTGAAGTGTACAAAACTTTACATTGAATAAATATTTAAATATTTGTTTCTAATCAAAACGTAATGTATGATAAATAAATTTAGTGTACCCAACCTATTGTTTTGGTACATGTTAACATTTTTAATTGATTTTATTTGTAATTACTACAGTGTTCATAATTTTTTTTTGATTTTAGTATTCATTTGCTTATTATTTTTCTTTATTATTCTATAATTTTTGGGTCAAGGTATAAATAACATAGTACCTAAAAAATATCAACGCCAACTTACTTTTTTGTACTAGTTAATGATGTATCCGCCAACACAAAACGGAAACATTTAAATATCATATTATTCATATTGAATAATATATTTTGGTTTGGCAAAATTATGTTTTTTAGGATTGGCATATGGTGGGTATATATTACTTCCGCTATCGAAAACAAAATAAAATTTATGTTTCAAAAAAATAAAAAATAAATCTAAAATAAATTGCAATGCATTACTTTTTTTTAGGGGGTAGACCTCCTTGAGTATTATGGGGTTTTGTAGTATACTTAATACTTATACATATCAATATTTATTTTAAGTAGGTACAACAGTAAATAAATAAAAACTTATTATTTATGTCACATATTATAATATTATATGCTTTAAAGTTTATTATAATCATTATAATCTGTGGATTAAAATTAACATTTGTTTATATCAGTTCTTGTATGTTTTTTTTTCATTTAACCCGAATATGTGAAAGCAGCATTGGAAATATTCGAAGGTAGGATAATTACTTAGAAAAAAAAATAATAACTCACGTTTTAATTTGACACGATCGAAAGGATTTTCGTTCATTTTTCTCGTAATTTATTTTAAAAGTAAATGAGTAAATTGTATGTTTCAGACATACACTTGTTTGCAGGCGTGTTCTAATTCTAGTTGTTCTTGTGTAAGTTTACTTGAGTTGAGCGTTTTCAAATATTTTCTTTTGAGTGATAGTTTTTTTTAAAGAAAATTAGAAGTACTAATTGTAACCCGTAGGTTGTATTATTTTGTGCGTGTAGAAAGTTTATATTGTTTGTCACTGCCTTCCATGTGTTAAGTGTTGAGTAGTCTATCACGTTTTTCTGACTGTTTTTATATATATTTACATATTTTATTAAATTGTGGATCTGTAGCATTGGTTATTGTTACTAAACATGTTGACGCTTCAATAATAATAGATAACTTATATGAAATGCGAGTATTTAACAATAAATTGTTTGGCTTTACAGGCGAACCGTCATGTTGGAGACTTATTCATCGATTTGCAAGACGGTCTGAACTTGATATCATTACTCGAAGTATTGTCCGGAGATCAATTGGTAAGCAATAAATAATAGTAAATATATACAAGGCATAACAAAATTATGTATGTAGGATGGTATTTTTTTTTATAAAAAGAAAAATGTTTTTACATGCATCGGACAGTATTTTATATGTTATTACTTATTAGAAAAATTACTTTCAAGGTTTCTGGGGTGTGCCTCTAATTCTATATAGGATTTGTAACGTGTCAGATGATCATTAGGCCATAATAATCGATGTTTTGAGTAATCGAAAACTTTTGATTGTGGCTCAACACGATAGTTTTTGTGGGCGGTTTCGACAATTCTGTCGCTTTTAATTGTTATCTTTTGTGTTTGATAATTTAAGGGGTAGGCTAGTACTATTATATAGCAGAGTTGTAAAAACCTAATTGAAGGAAAATGCTATTACATCCAAGAAAGGTGTTCCCGGCAAACCGGACAATGATAATTACGGCCAGCAGCTACTTAGAACTTGATATTCCGTATAAAGTGATGCGCCAAGGCCTGAAATACATCCTTGTCTTTGTTTTGCTGGGGAAAATTGTGTAATACAATTTGTAAAAAAAGTCATTAAATTGTGCCTATCATTGTTTAGTTTCAATGAATATATTGTATTATTTATCTTTTCGTAAACACTGCAAATCGTATATTTGATAGATTGACAAGGACAAGTTACTTAGTAGTTACTCTAAATATCTGTAATAATTATTTCCAAATTAATTTCCAGCCAAGAGAAAGAGGCAAACTGAGATTTCACATGCTACAAAATGTCCAAATGGCACTGGAATATTTGCGTTTCAAAAAGGTAAATATTTTTACTTAAATAACAAATAGTGCAAAGTTTATAATCATTATGTGTGTTTTTAGATCAAGCTCGTGAACATTCGGGCCGAAGAATATTGTAGATGGGCAATCCAAAACTCACGCTGGGTCTCATATGGACCATTATACTTCATTTCCAGGTTAGTGTCGTTAACTTTTATTGCTGGATATGGGTATTTATGTTCGGAACGGCATATTATTACAAAAATAAATTGTTACACAACGCTGGTCACGTGTGATAGAACAAAACACAGGGCGCACCTGAAAACCGCGTGTGGTCGATTATAGCCTACACGATCAGTATTGCTAGTTTTTACATTTTCAACAATTCAAAAAAAAAAAATACATAATTTAAATTAAAAGTATGTAAAGTTGTTGCCAGCTAGAATATATTACGCTGGATATATGACTTATAATTTTGTTATTTCTTATTAGTTTATAATTATCCTTTTCTTTTTATTTAAAACGTCCAAACATCCAATTTCAAAAAAACACCTTATAGTCGAGTGGATTACTGAAGTTGCAGTGCATTTAATTTATTTATTTGAATATTAATTGATTTTAGTCATAATATCATGTTAGATACTGATATAGCTAGCTGACGTTAGCTGAAGCTGACCTTAAGATGGTTAATTCATTGTATGATGGTATTACTTGAAAATGTACTAATGTACTAAACAGATTAAAAACTTTTTTAGTATGCTAAAATACATATTTCATAGAGTTAATGCTATTAGAAATGAGATTTTATATTGGGAGTTGGATAGGCAACTATAAAAGCATCTAAGTAATAGCAGTTACCTCGAACGCTCCTTTTTAATTAATTAGTAAGAATGTTTTTAAGTTTTTATCTTGTGATAATTAGATAGTTGTATGTAAAACAGGGTAAATAATTAATTATTAATTCTTTAACTTTCTTACACCTTTTTATTAAAATCAACTAGTTCCTATTTGTTTTTAGTGTTTTGTATCATATTTAATAGTATAAATACGTTTGTTTTTCTCTATTTTTTTTAGCTTCTTATTGTAAAAACATTTCTAAAAGTATGTATTAATTATTATTAATCACAGTGCATAATACATTATTCTTTATATTATAAATATAAATTAAAGTTTTCCGTTCAACATTTTAGTAAATATAAACATTCTGAACAGATAATTTTCTATCGTCATCGTTTGATACAATTATCATTGAATGAATTTTAATAAATAATAAATAATTAACTTTGTTTTTAAAAAATATTAACGAATTTAATTAATTGTTTTTTATATAGTTGTATAATATAGGTACATATAAGTTGCGTATGAGATATTTTTGTATTTTTATGGGTACACTAGGCACAATTATACCCACCACGTAATATTTTTTAATTAAATATATGGAAACGCGTCAAATTATTATATTATAGTTGTGTATCAGTATTTACGGCACCGCGCGTTCTAAATGTCTGAGACAATGAGAATATAATATCTATTCGAACGGAGGAACGGTACAATTTTTGTTTTACCAATCATATCACGAATAGAGGCGTTACTCGTAATAACGTACGTCACGACATCACAATTATGATTTATGTGATACTGTCGTCGTCTTGTATTATAACGGTGGCGGCGCGTGTCATCGCATTACACCATACTGTCATCGCGGCACGCGTTATACCTTATGTACCTGCAATATTGACGTGTCGAATTTCCCGGAAACATATTTTTAATGCTTTTAATAGGTAGGTATATTGCGCGTGCAAGCCGGTAAAAAGCACTAGGACGCGGGTGATTGTGAAAATCTGTTTTTGCCGTGAGTATATATCCGGTCTTAACCCTGATTTTCCGCCTCCGTCCATACTGGTGCGTATTATTCGGTATGTTTGTACTCAGCGGTGCGATGTTTATGTAATCCGCGGCCTCCTCCAGCGTCCGCCGGGCTGGTGACTCCTACGCTTTGGTTTGCCCAAGGTCCCCGGTGACCCAAGGATCCGAACGCACCTGGCCGAGCGCTCTTTATATGGATATGTGGTGCACACCGTAAACGCGGCGATGAGATTTTTGGCCAGGTCGAACGTGGGCTCAGCGTCCGTGGGTGCCAGGCGTTGTTATCGTAACACATTACATTACCTACAATATAATACCATAATATTCTGGTAAACCATCTGCGACGACTGCTGGTGCTTTGCGAGGGGGCCTACATCATACGACCGACGAGTCCTGCAGCCTGGTCACTTGCGTTGGGCAATCGTTGTTTTTTCAATGAAACCTCCGCGTATCTAATCCTGACTCCGCGGAAGAAATCTCGCGTATGCGTATCGCGTCTCTATCGCAATATTATTCAATGGGCCCCCCCTTCACCCCAGTGACCGGGTGCGGTGGCGGTGCGTGTGCGTGGTTATAACCTTGAAGTGCGCTTTTTATTATTATTATTGCAAGCAGGTACCATACGCAGTCGCTGTTGTTCCCCCCTACACACACACACACACACACACACACACCACAGCCACGACAACACTCCGTATAGTGTACCTGTGAGCGCGCGCTCCTCCTCATCCTCCTACTCATTCACGTATTGCCTTTCTGCTGCAACACCGGCCCGGCCCCCGACGGCTTAACACGGTTCAGTTATCTCTTGTGCACCGGCCGTGTCGCGCGTGCAGTCAGTGTTGTCAGTCAGTCATCGTTGTTCATCGTTGCTCAGTAACGGTTTTGCTGCCGCTGTCGTCCCGGACTTTTCGTATGCAAACTATATTTACGTACATACTTCGTCGCAATACACACACCCAACACATTTGACAGACGTCGTTGTAAACGGTTTTCGGAAACGTCTCGTGCGCCGCTATGCGAGCGAAGAACGATTGACGCGAGCACCTGGATAAGATCGAGATCAACAGAGATCGAAACGCGGACGGTACATCATGTACCGGTTCACAAAAGCCTCCAAGGAGGTGTCGTCGTCGTCATCGGCGGCGGCGGCTGGTCGCCCGGGTGGTAGCCGGCTATTCATGCAGGGCACCCGGGAAGGTGACGACGACGTGCGCGACCTGCAGGCCGTGTACACGAAACGGCACCTGTCCACTGAGGTGACCGGGTCCAATCACGAGTCGCAAAAGGTGGACAGACGGCCGGAAGTCGGCAGGCACTCGGTCACCACTCGCGTCCTGCGCAAAACCACCGTGCTAACGCGCGGCGTCGAGGTGTCGGCCACCGAGAGCATGATGAAAACCGGCCAGATGATGGTCGCCGACCAGCCGTACGAGGAGTCCAAGAGGACCTCGTCCAGACATCACCATCAGGTCATCAAGACCAAGAAAGCCAAGGTAGTCTCGCGAATCGTGCACAGCACACGCATATATGCACCTATATGTATTATTACCTATATTGTGTTCGCCAGGCTCATCCTGTCGTGATGAGTTGTCTTCGGATCCAAATATTTCCTATAAACTAAATAATAGCTCAAAATCGCAAAGGTCGAATCAGTACCTCGGTGGTTTGGCGGGAAATCGGTCCGAATGGCTTTTTCGCGTGCAGTCGGAAGGAGGTCTATAATTATTTTAAGTGTTTCTCGTAAAGAAGTTATATTCATGTACAACTTGACATTTTTTCCTGGTATATCTGTATATCTGTATAGGACACATGTTTTGTTGTTTTGTTTCATTGAATAGTTTTTTTTCCGCTTTCTTATGCGCATAGATAAAGCCGATCCGTTTTCGAATGAAAGTGGTTTACAAATTATAGATACATATGCAATATCAACACATAATGTTTGTACTATGTTCGACACATTATGTATATAGTAGTTAAGTACTTAACCACATACACGCACTGCTCACTCACCATAATATATATACATATACGATGTGTCGATGCAAGCAACTATATGTCTATATATATTATATTGGACGCGGTGTAAATCCTAATTCAGTTAATACTCATTACAGTAAAACCTCTATTTGTGGATACTCCTCCACCCCCCTGTAACGCTTATTTTTAAATATTTCATTAGAAGATTTCATGTATTGTACTTGTACATCACATTCTTCCAATAACAGACACACCTCTGTGTATCGGACCAATTTTCATCTTCCACCACAGTCCGTCTTATATATTATAATATAGAGTTTTCGAGTGTGAAATGTTGTGATGCATTCCTTAAACCACATTTCCCTTTAAAGTTTAAACCAGATATTTTAAAAGCCATTCAAATCATGGTTTAAATTACATTTTGGTCGTCATATTAAGTTTATCAGTTTGATTTCACACATCATATTTCATGCATAATTTGTTAATGGTTATCTTTTAAAAAGTTGATAATCTTACAAGTATCTAAATTATATTATTTCTGAATAGTTTATTATTACATAATTTCTTTTAATCACAAATGTATTTGTTTACCGAAAAGATAACCACCGCCTTTGATAAACTGACAAATATTTATTTTTTATGTGTTTGGTTAGTAATAGACGACAAGAGTCCATAAAATGTAAAACTTGTGTATTTTAATTTATTGTATATACCCGTTTATCGTAGGGCATTGTGTTGTTGTTATACAATCGGAAATGACACAGATGAGTGGTTAGCGTATAGGGTTCATTTATCATTATTGTATTTATGTTCAAAAATTCAATATAAAAGTTAAATTTGCTGATTCGGGTACTTGGATTTAAATTTTCTCGTACATATGCAGAGTGTTTGAGTGCACGTACCGGAAACAAGAATAAGGTGAACGAACTACGTGTTTCGAAGTGAATGGAGCGATTGTTAATGAAGAAGTGCTTCGAAACATAGGAATAAAAGCTTAACTGTGCTTTTTTGGTTATTTATTGGGACCGGTAAAGATTTGCATCAAAACTAAAACGAGACATCATTAAGCCTACCTACAATATTTTGCGCTACCTATATATTTACATGTTGTTTCTTGTACCGTCTACTATAGGTAATGTATACAGTTGTATACTGTACACCACCTGACTGAAATATAGTGAACATGTATACAAACATGGATAGTATCTACATACATAATGTCTACGTTTTACACTGTACCCGCTGCCATAATATTGAAGAATAATATGACTATGATCAGGGCACGCATGGATGGTTTCTTATGCATGCCGTACATTTCCTTCAAACGCGCATAATGATGGTGACCTGATTTTTGATTTCTTTCTTCGCGCACACATATACATCACACGATCACATACACACACACGCACACCCATAAATCACCTCTCTCTCACACACATAGGTACTCTCTTACTCTATCTCAGTTTTGGATCGAAGTCTCGACTTTAAATCTTCTTCATGAGTAAAAATTTGTTTTACTTTTCGTTTGTTTGCTCGAATGATAATTTCAATAGAAGAATAAAAACACATAATTTGTCCTACTAACAAATGACATGGGCGAGAATGTGTTGTGAACGGCCTCTAGAGCGGACCTACTGCCCATTTAAGGAGAAGACTGGTGGCTCGGTCGAATCGTAAAAAACACGTATACCGAATTGTATTTTGTTTTCGTCGGCGGGCTTGCGCATTGTTGACCCTAATAATAATTGTCTTATTTTTTTTTATTATTATTATTCTGTGTAAAAATACATATTCCTATATGTACAATTATGTATATGGCACCAATGTAATATGGGTAATACGAACCGCCTCCGGTGGGACAAGAAACCTTATGTGGACATTTAATACGCGCGTCGACTTGTAATGGCGCGGTTTTCGATATTTTCATTACTTTATTTTTTACGTTTATATTATTATTGTTATTTTTATTTATTATTATTATTTTTTTTTTTAGATATCTGACATTGTGGTCGGTGAAGAACCGAACGTATCGGCGCGTGACGCTTTATTGAAATGGGCTCGCAAATCAACATCGAAATACCCAGGTGTTCGGGTGTCGGACTTCACGTCTTCTTGGCGGGATGGCATGGCATTCAACGCGATTATACACAGAAATAGGTAATACTATTTTTTTTTGTGGATATTTATTTGTAATATGTAGTAAAAATTTATATTTATTGTAATCTTACGATAGACCGGATTTAGTCGATTGGCGCAATGTCAAAAGTAAAAATGTTCGTGAGCGATTGGAGTCTGCATTTTACATTGCAGAACGAGAATATGGAGTCACCAGATTATTGGATCCCGAAGGTGATCATCATAATTGCATCATAATATTTACATAGATTTTGTAAATTCATTATTATAATACCTATTTTATAGATGTTGACACCCACGAAATTGACGAAAAATCAATTATTACTTATATATCATCATTACACGAAGTGTTCCCGGAACCCCCGCGTTTACACCCTCTTTATGATTCTGTAAGTAAAAATTAAACAGTTTTATTTTCTAAATATTTATTATTTTTATTTTATATTTTTGTAGGAATCTCAACAACGTTCTGGTGAATATCGTGAAATTGCCTCATCACTAAACCGTTGGATGCGTGAAAAGTTATCTGTAATGTCCGACCGTAATTTCCCATCAACACTTATTGAAATGAAAAAATTAGCATCAGATTCTACTAAGTTTCGTAATGAAGAGCTTCCACCTCGCCATCGGGACAAACAGCACCTGGTCCATTTATATAAGGAACTTCAAGTAATAATACATATATATGACATGTGTTTTGTTGGTAGAAATATTCATAGAATTTTTATATTTTATAGAAATATTTTGAGGCTGTTGGCGAAATGGATATTGAACCAGAATTACAAGCTGATGCTATTGACCGTACCTGGAATCGTTTGATGATGTCATACCAAGATCGAGATTCTGCTATTCAGGAAGAAATAAAACGTCTTGAACGCTTACAAAGATTAGCAGAAAAAGTTCATCGTGAAACCAAGCGCACCGACTTAAAGTTGGATGAGTTGGAAACTAGAATTGTGGAAGAAGGTCGCCGGGCCGATAGACTGCATCCATTGGATGCAAAACACAACGCTGATCAACTGGAGACTGAGTTGCGTTTATCTGAAGATACTATTCAATCACTGTTTGTTGATGTACAAGCACTCAGAGAAGGACGTTACGTGCAGGCACCTGAGTTACAAAAGAGGTGACTACTATAAATCATATTTTATTCATTAAATTATTATATTTTATATATTTTTTATTTAGGGTGGAAAAATTGCATCAGAGATGGGTAAATTTGCGTTCTTTGTTGCATTCAAAAGTTCTTACTCCTTTAGCTACTCTATCATTTCCAATTGTTGAAGAGCGTACAGTTACCAAACAAACACGAACCATTCTGGAAACTCGACTTGTTGATACCAATACTCATTTTCGTTCATTGCAAGAATGCATTGATTGGTGCAATAACAAATTGGTAGGATACATTTGAAAATTGGTTTTTTTTATGTGTTCGTTAATTTTATGTTGTTTTTATGTATTTATAGAAACAATTACAGGAAGCTGAATATGGTTCAGACTTGCCTAGTGTCCAAGGGCTTTTGGACCAACACCAACGCGAACATAAAATAATCGACCAATTCCATACTAAAGTTGAGCATTGCATAAATGCTAAGAGTAATTTCCACGGAGATGAGCTATCTCTGTATTCACAGCACTTGAATACATTGCAGAAAGTTTATGCTGAATTAGTTACTTTCTCTAATAAACGGCTATCTGATCTAGAAACATTGCAAGACTTCTTGCAATCAGCTACTAATCAGCTTATTTGGCTCAACGAGAAAGAAGAAATTGAATTAAATCGTGATTGGAGTGATAAAGATTTAAACATACCCTCAATTCGACAATACTATGAGTAATATTATTATTTATTATAATATTATATAATAGGTTTAAATTTAAAATTTTTAATATGTTAACTAATTTTTAAGCATGCATTTGGATCAGGGATTGAGGTTGTGTGTTTTGATTAAACTTATACTCCTTTATTATTTTATGTTTTTATAAAAATGTATATTATTTATTTTTCCAGTCTTTAATGTCAGAACTTGAGAAACGAGAGATTCAATTAAGTTCGGTCCAAGATCGCGGAGAAGCTTTAATTCTTCAGGGTCATCTTGCATCAAAGTGTATTGAAGCTTATATATCTGCATTACAAACACAATGGACTTGGTTACTCCAGTTAACTCTTTGTTTAGAAACTCATCTAAAACATGCCACTTACTATCATCAGTTCTATACTGATGTCAAAGAAGCTGAACATTGGTTAAACAAACGAGACGAGTTACTAAATTCTGTTTTTAGTCAATCGGAATTTAGCCTGGATGATGGAGAACGTTTGTTGAAAGGTATGCAAGACCTCCGAGAAGAATTAAATAACTTCAGTGAAGTGATTGGTACACTTGAAGATCGATCAAGGCAAGTAGTTCCACTGAAACAACGTAGACTTCCAATTACTAGACCTATACCAGTGAACGCAATTTGTAGCTTCAAACAAAATGGGGTATGTTAAAAAAATTATGATATGATGAAGCAATTAACATTATTAAGCAATTATGTTTAAACACAATTTTTTTTTTTAGATTAATGTTGAGAAAGGTTCTCAATGGTTGCTCCATGATAATTCTGGACGAATCAAATGGAGAGTGTCCAGAGGAATGAATCTAACTGATGATTCAAATGTTCCTGGTGTTGTATTTTTAATACCTCCTCCGGATCAAGAAGCTTTAGATTCTGTTGATCGTTTGCGTAGAGCATATGACGTTCAAACAGCATTATGGCAACGTAAACAATTGCGTATGCGTCAAAATATGATATTTGCTACTATCAAAGTTGTCAAGGGTTGGGATTTAGCTCAAGTAATAAACATTTTATTTTATTTTTATTTTTTAAATTGAATTAACTTATTTATTTTTTTTTTTATAGTTTTTGGCCATGGGTGCTGATCAACGTAATGCTATTCGTAAGGCATTAAATGAAGATGCTAATAAGTTGTTGAGAGAAGGTGATTAGCTGAACCTCAATTAAGAAGACTCAAGAGAGAAATGGATGAAGTGAACAGGTTATTTGACGAATTTGAAAGACGATCACAAGCCGAAGAAGACAGTAAAAACCTTACTCGAATGTTTACCGATCAAGTTAAATCTATTCAAATTTCATTGGATGAATATGAACATACATTAAATACTAGATTGAGCGCCCCTATACCAAGAGATATGGACACTTTGGAACATTTAGTTATTCAACACAAAGACTTTGAAACGTCACTGAAGGTATTTTATTCATCATTTGTTAGAATGTGTAATAGAATAATAATATTTCATAATAATAATTTTATTTGTGCTATAGAACTTGGGTCCTGATGTAGAAGCCATGCAAGCTACATTCAAAAACATACCAAACAAAACAGCAGCCTTACAAGCTAAACATGATAAGGTTTTGAACCAATGGAACCAGTTATGGAATCTCTCTCAGCTTTATGTTGAAAGACTCAAGTGTGCAGAAATTACTTTGTCTGGATTAGATGATGCAAACAATGTTATATCAGATTTTGAAATTAAATTAGCATCCTATGGTGAAATGCCATCTGAATTACCGGCTTTAAAATTAGTAAATTAATTTCATTAATATTAAATTTTAAGTTCACATTGATATATTTATGTGTATAATTTTATAAAGGTGCATCAAGATCTGATAGCATTACAAAAAAATGTTGTCCTTCAACAGCCAATCATTGATCAATTGGTTGAAGATAAACACAATACCAGGCGCTTAACAGAAAAATCCAGACACCACTTACCGCGAACTGCTCATCACGATTTGGATAGACTAGACAGTGATGTAAATCGTATTACAAGTAGATGGAATAATGTTTGTAGTCAATTAGTCGACAGGTAAAATAATAAATTACCTATTAAAAAAATTAAATTCACTTGTTACTAATTTATACAACAAAAATAATATATTAATCATCTTCTAATACAAATGTGAATTACCATTTATAATATCAAAGACTTATTGTTCACTTTAATTTTTCAATAATATTGTACTTATCATTGTTTCTACAGGCTGAAGAGCTGTGAAGCAGCTTACGATCTTTTGAATAAATACAAAAATTCGTACCAGTCTGAAGTTAAAATCATTGACGAGAGCTATGTTAAATTGAATAATGTTGCACCTCTTAAAATGCAAGCAAGAGATCTTACAGAAACTACTAAGGTAAAGTGTATACAAGATATAAAGCTGACATAAATCATTAAATATAATATGTTGTGGTGAGTCATGTACTTTATTTTACTTAAACTCAACCATTGCATTGCATTGCACGTTAAATAAACAATACATAATAATTTAATATATTGTATAATATTAAATATTAATATAACATAAGTGTATACTGTATTACATTATCCAAGTAAGGCCTCACGGCGAGAACAAAGGTTTTTTTTATTTATTGATCAAATACATCTCGTAGGCTTTGTATAACAAGGTGCAGGAACGTACTAAAGCAATTGAGAGCGTCAATGTGGACGGTGGCAGATTTATACGAGAAGCTAAGGTAACGACGCTTTTTAACATAAAATAAAAATCGAAATTTGCTGTGATAACCATTTAACAGACCATAACAAAGACTATGCGTATAATTAACCCGCAAATAGATATATGACCTACGACTTCAACATTACTGTGCGTGGCTGGTAGACGAAGTTCATCCAAGCCTTGATGCCAGCAATCATAATAAAGGCCAAAATATGGATCCTAGTGTTGGTGAATTGGCTGTGTCTCATGAACTTGACGTGCTCAACCATAGATTTCAAGCATTGCTCAACATGCTGATTGACCAGTTGAAAAATCTAGCATCAGTCAATACTGATGATCTTGAACTACAGGTTAGTAAGATTATTTTTATAATGTTAAGCAAGTTGGATCCTTTATCAATATTTTTTAAATCCTTTAATTTAATTCTATAACTATTATTTACTATTTTCTATATAATATTTAATTTCTTTTAATTTTCCAATTATATATCCATTGTTTTTATATTTATGATTCAAAAAATATCCATGTTTAACAAAAAAATTATGAATAACAATTGATTCTAAATTAAAATAGTAATTAAGGGTGTCTTTAAATATTTTTAATTATATTTATTTTAAACTGATGAAAAATACACATTTAATTTATTTCAATGATTGTTAAATTGTGTAAAATACATGAAGATTCTATAAAATAAAACAATTCACGAATTCAATATATTAATAAGCCCTTATTTATAAACTAAATTCAAATTATTATATTTTAAATTAAGAGGTGTAATCTTAAACATAAGTTGATATTATCTAATTAATCACAATTAAAGTTAAAAGAGATAATTTAGTTTATTCCAAAAGATTCCAACTACTTACAATATTTTATTGAATAGTGTTACAATAGTATACATTCATAGAATTTGATAATGAATATTAAAATTAAAATTTCATACGTCTATAAATACAAAAATTATTACATCTAATCATTATTATTCTGAGACACATACATTTTGAAGTTTTCTCCCACTTAAAAATTGTGGTGTTATATAAATATATAAATGTCTGGTTAGTTCACAACGGTATTTAAATAAAAATATTTACGTTTGTAAATTTCAAAATAATTCTACCTCGTTTTTACTTAGGTCAATTTAAATTTTTATTACTACATTGTGTTAATTATATACTCTTGTGTATGAAAACAAATATTTTGTTAAGCATAGTTGATTACACCTACACAGTAACACTCCTCTTGTCAATTATTTTGCACTTTTAGTTTTTACTACAAATAATTAAAAATGGTAGAGTATTGTTCCCTTGAAGTTATTAAGCAACATATTATTACTGTAAGATACCCAAGGTTCGGCTTTAACCTATCAATTTATCTATTAGAAATGATTAGTCTAAATAAATGTTGCAGGAATATGTGAAGACATTAGAGGCTAGGCCGTTGCGCACATTCAGAACTGAATTCAATATATATGATACCATTCCTGAGTTAGTACTTGATACTATATAGTCTTAGTATGTTTTCATAGTTGTATGATTAAAGTTGTGTGGTGTTTTTTTTTCTTCTAGTGTATCGACAAATGGTATAGATGAAACAATAACAGCAACAAATATAGATCATCAGTCATTTGCAATGGTAATCACATTCTACACAAACCGTCGAATCTAATGGTGATGCAGATATTCGTTCATTGCGTCGACGTATGGAAGAAGCAACCGGACTTGATGATGATATTATTAATGCTCCGGGAATTGTTCATCCCAAGACTGGCGAAATTTTAACAGTAGGCGAAGCAATTCGTTTACGAGTATTAGATGTACGAACTGGTCGTATTGCCACTCAACCAGATTCAAAATCTGGTTGGGTAACTATTGAGCAAGCTGTCGAGAAAGGACTGGTGGACAAGGGTTTAGCAAACAAACTTTTGGGTCCTTGTGTTGTTGGTGATAATGGACCACAAATGACTTTGCTGGAAGCTATTCAAAAGGAATTAATGGATGCTGAACGAGGACCAGTTGAAAGGATAAAGGTAAAAAATGAAGAACATATTGCTGATTTTAGTGAAACTCTCAATTCGAGTGAGGTTAGGGGTGAGGTATTTCAAGTGTTAAATAAAAAAGTCACATTAAATGAAAAAGAAATTACTGTACTCGACGCCGTTCATCAAGGAAACTTAGATAAAATTAATTTGGCTGAAGATGAATTACAACTTTTAGCAAAACTTAATGGCCTCAAACCAAAAAGTGCATTGAAAGTCGTATTGACCAAAACATTAGACGCCTTGAAAATTAAAGAAGATCCTAGAACTGATTTGCCAACAGAAGGTTGGAGTTTATTTGAAGCAATTAAACAAAATTTATTTGATCCTGAATCTGGTGTTTTTATTATACCTGGTACTGACAGGTTAGTATCATTTAAAGAGTGCATTGATATGCGCATTATAAACCCAGATTCTGCTGTAGTAGTTGATCCAACTAAGCCAAAAACATTATCATTAAAACAAGCACTGAGAAAAGATATTTTAGATGCCACTGGCCACTATCAAGGTAGTACAATGAAAGAAGCTATAGAAGGTAACTTTGTATATGATCCATCAGCAATTGAATATGTTTCTTCACCTGTTGAAACAGTTGAAGTAAAAGGTGGTAAACGTAAAGTTGAACGGTCTAATAGTATGAGACCTCAGTTTTTTGTACAAGAATCAATAACGGAAGAAGAATTAGAAGATTTTATACATAATGAGAGTAGAAATGTACCATCTTTACCTGTATCACTACTAGAATCAAGCACCACGGGAATAACCTTGGTAACTTCAATGATGTAATGTTATGCCATGCATGGTGTATTGTGATTTAAAATTATATGTTGTTTTGTCAACAAACTTTTTTAATTAATTATTTATTGAGAGTATAGCTTTTTTTAAGTTTTCTTTTTTCATAGCTTTTGTGTTTGTGTTTTATTTTTCAGGACAACCAGATTATTTTTGAAAGCTATACATACCAGTTATTTTTTTGCCTGTATAATATGCCTAACAAAATTATTTTTGTGATGTTATTATAACAAATGTTGTATGTTGTTTTTTTTTTGTAAAGGCTTATTTTAACTGATTTACAAATGAAAACAACAACAAATGAAAACTAAAATTAATTTTTAGATGTAATAAGCTTTTAATTTGTATGCATTAAAAATAATATTCAATATGCTAAATTCATAATTGCACTAATTTTTTTTTTTTAATTTTAACCGTTATGGTTCTTATTGATGTTTTTTTTAACATAAACTGAAATTTATTTTTATAGCAAGCCATGGCAGAAAAGTACAAACTGTGTGATGATACACTGTCAGAATACTTAAACTGGATTGGAGAAATTGAAGACAGAATTGCAAATCAAGATATAGCTCAAGAAGGTTTGGATCAACTACGTAATCAAATAAACATTTTAAAAGTATGGATATTTTAAATTTCTGCATTCATTTATATTATATTCATTATAATATTTATCTACTAATATTTTTTAGCTGATTAAAGAAGAAATTGATTCACAATTACGTCCTATTACAACATGTTTGGATCAAGTACGTCATATAATTGCCACGGGCAGTGAATACTTGTCTAGAGAAGAAATAAATAATGTTGAGAAGAAAGGGAAATCTCTGAAATCTCGGTATGACCATGCAAATGAACGCACTGATAAATTGCTACGTCGCTTAGTCTCTGCCAAAGATGAACTGTCCAAGTTTAAATCTGAACTTACTACATTTACAACATGGATGGATAGAGCTCAGCGTACTCTTGATGAAAAAGAACGAGCATTAGCTAATATAAATAGACTTGCGGATACATCATCAACTGAATCCACAAGGGAGTTTGTGTCTGATGTTATTTCACACCAAGCAGATCTCCGCTTTATCACAATGGCAGCACAAAAGTTCATTGACGAGTCTAAAGAATATCTAACCTGTTTAAATGATTTCAGAACTGGTTTACCATCTCGACTTCATCATATCGAACCAGTATCATCACAAGATAGTGTGGTTAAAAATACAGTTATCAATGTCACTAATAATTATAGAGATTTATTAGCACGAGCTAATGCCTTGTCTGATAAATTAAGTGGACTTAACTCTAAACAGAGAGAATATAAGGATGCCTTGAACGCTGTTAAAGCTTGGCTTCGAGAAGCTGAACCAAGAGCTATTAAAATCATTAATGAACCAATTGGTGCAGATCCAAATGCTCTCGAAGATCAATTCAACCGAACAAAAACTTTGAATAATGAATTTTTGGGACAAGCTAGGCTTATTGAAAATGTCAAACAAGCTGCAGATGGTTTAATTAGATCACTTGAAGGCCAAAGTGGTATCAAAGAAATCGAGGCCATTCAAGGCCCAGTTAATGAATTGGAAGATAAGTACAGATCTTTATGTAATGGTTTAGCTGACCGACTATCACAATTGGACACTGCATTAGTTCAATCACATGGTGTGCAAGATGCTTTAGATTCATTACTTCATTGGTTAAACGATGCTGAAGCCACATTAAAGTAAGTTTTTTTTTACATTTTATTTAAGAGGACGCTACCCATGCATTTGTTGTCTTCGTCTTACTCACATATGACAAACAAATTTTCTTCTCTAGTTTTATTAGTGTTCAGTGAGTTTTGATATTGGAGGGAATTGACCTATTATCAAACTTTTACTTAAGAACATTATCTGTGCTTTAGCATCAGCTTTTATTTAATATTTTAATATTTAGGCGAGATATAAGTATTTTTAATTTGTGATATTTTTATACTCTATGTTGCTTATACATTAAAATATTGAAAAAATTGCCGACGCTTAAACATAGACAATGTTTTACCTAAAAAGCTAAATGTTTGATAATAGGTTAATTCACTCTAACATCAGAATTCAAAACTAACAGCACATTATTGAAACAAGCAGTGGCGCCGAAGTTTTTAAAATGTGGTCGGGCAATTTTAAAACGTCCCGGCCTCAATATCTTAATTATTTAATATAAATTTATTCATAATCACGGTTTAAATTTACTCATGCTTATAATAAAGTTATGATGTAAATTAAATATGGCCGGCCGGCCACATTTTTCAAAAAAGAGGTCGGGCCACGGCCCGACGTCATCATGGACTTCGGCGCCACTGGAAACAAGTAAATAAAAATTTGCTATGTTGTACGTACGTTTGTAAGATGGCGATAACAAATGTATGGGTAGCGTCCTCTTAAATTATAAGGTGTAACTTATAACCCATCTTATCAATATTCAATTTCAATTAACAGTCCATTTGTAACATGCAGTTCTTTAGTTACTTATTACCTATTATAATAGTATATTTCCTCAATTATATTACTTCTAATTAATATTTTTTTTTTTAACAACAATAATTGTTGTTGCATTAAAAATGTTTTTAGTGATTATCCAAGTTATCATTAATGATTAAAATTTATTAACTTTTCTTAATGAAATAATTTTTTTTATAGGAATATAACAAGACCAGTAAGTTTACACACAGATCGTCTATCTGAACAAATCCGAGAGTACAGATTGTTGCAGTCAGATATTGATACACATAGAGCAAGTGTTGACAGCGTCGCACATTCTACACAAGAGTTAATGATCAACTCAAGCAATCCTAGACTTGCCAAAAAAATAGAGGTCAAGTTAAAAGATGTTACGACTCGTTTTGAAAAGCTTTTGGATAGGACTGCTAAACGAGGTGAATTATTAAATGACATCAACCAAATATTGTCATCATTTAATAGTCAAGCAGCAATGCTTGAACAATGGCTGGCAAATGCATTAGATAATTTTAACGATATGCCTGAAAGCAAGTTGGATGATTTAATTGCTCAAAGAGACTCTCAACGACAAGCATTAGACCAAACAATACGTGACGGAAAAACTCTCATTAACAATAAGGATGTAACCGACACTCCTCCTGTGCGTGATCGTGTTAAGGGATTGGAAAACCAATGGAAAAATTTGAACCAACTATTAGAAGAAAAGCAGAGATTATCTAAAGCTAAAATAGAACAACTTCAAGCATACGAAAAATTGAGAGATCAAGTATTAATTTGGTTAAATAACACTGAGAAAAGAGTTAACCAATTAGAAAGTGTGGCTGTAGATATGAATATTATTAAAAATCAAATTGATGAACTGAAACCAATTTCTAAGGATCATCGTGATTACAGCATTACTATTGACAGACTTAATGACCTAGGGGCTACATTTTATGATTCTAGCCTTACCAATTCTATGAGAAGACGTAGTTCAGTGTCTCCTACTAAACGCTATTCGTTGGACTCATTAAGAAAAACTTCTAGGGATTCTCCTAGAAGTTCTGTTGTAAGTTTCACATACAACAGAATTGAAGATGGCTTAGACGACAGCCCTGTGCAGCAGGAATTGAATGAAATTAATAACAGATATAACTTATTAGGTGTAAAAATATCAGACCGACAAAATGAATTAGATACTATTAGAGACGATGTGAGAAAGTTGGTTGAAAATATGAAAATATTAAACCAATTTTTAGATAGAACACAGAAGTCATTACCAAAAGAGAGTATTCCTCTGACTAAAGAAGAGTCTGATAAAGCAGCAAAACAAGTTAGAGCTGTACTTGAAGAAATGTATGAAAAACAATCTTTGTTGGATAGTACTAAATCTGGTGTAAATGATCTATTAAAAAAAAAACCAACTTCTCTAGGAGCTGATAGATTACATGATGACATACAAAATGTTACAAGTCGTTGGAAGAACTTAAATGATATTTGTAAGAATCGCATTCAACTTCTTGAAGACTTGAAAGATTTCCATGACTCACATGACAACCTTTCGAACTGGTTAGGATCCAAAGAGCGTATGTTAAATGTCTTGGGTCCAATATCATCAGATTCTAGAATAGTACAAAGTCAAGTTCAGCAAATTCAAGTGTTGAGAGAAGAGTTTAGAACTCAGCAACCTCAACTTACTCATTTAACATCTGTTGGTGAAAGCATACTCAATAGACTACCAGATCCAAACTCACCGGACGCTCAACGATTTTCTAATAAATTAACAGCAATTTTACAAAAATGGTCAGATTTACTTGGCAAATTGGAAGATAGAGCATCCAATCTTGGCGCAGCAGCTGATTCCACCCGAGAATTTGATGCAGGTCTTGCTCGTTTGACTGAAGCATTGCAAAATATATCTGATCAATTAGATGATATTTCATATGATAAAGAACCAGAAGAGAGGCTTAGAAAAATACAAAACTTGGAAAGACAATTAGAAGGACAAAGACCATTATTAGCTGATTTAGAAGATGCTGGCAATCATTTGTGTAATGTATTAGATGACCCAGCTTGTAAAGCAGATATTCAAGCAAAATTAGCTGCCATTAATCGTCAATATAACAACTTGCAAAAGAAATTGGACAATAAAAAAGCTGAAATTGAAGGATCATTGAAGGACGGTAGACAGTTTGAAGCTACCTGTGCTTTGACACTTGGTTGGCTGTCTGATCAATTGGGTAGTCTCACAGAACGTCTATTAATATCTGCTGATAAAGATATATTACAGCAACAAGTTTCTCAGTATGAGCCAATATACAAAGAAGTATTACACAAAGAACATGAAGTAATTATGCTTTTAAATAAGGGTCGTGATATGTTATCACGAACTGGACAACGTAACGAATCTCGTAATTTGCAACGTGATTTAGACAAAATACAACAAAATTGGGACAAACTGCGCAAAGAAGCTGTAGACCGCCATAACAGACTTCAAACATGCATGGAGCATTGTAGAAAATATTATAGAGCCCAAGAGTCCTTTACACCATGGTTGGCTCAAGCCGAAAATAAATTAGAACTTATACGACCAAACAGCTTTAGTAAAAAAGACGTGGATAAACAATTGAGAGAATTGTCTGCTTTTAGAAATGAAGTTTGGAAACACTCTGGTGAGTTTGAGAATGTTAAAAACCTAGGAGAAACATTCCTTTCTTCTTGTGATGTGGATAAAGAACTTGTAAAACAAGAACTATCAACCATCAAAACTCGATGGGATAGATTGAACAATGAATTAATGGAAAAAACACAATGGTTAGAAGACATTTCAAGAAAGTTATCTGACTTTTCCGACAACCTTAGAGATTCTGAACACGCATTACAGCGCTGTGAAGATAAACTTACTTCTCACGATTCAGTTGGAGGTGCGGCACGTGATCCAAAACTGTTGGAGAGAATCAAAGCATTGCGGGAAGATGCTAAAAAATTAAGAAATCCATTGGTAAGTCTAAGGCAAACAGCCGGTGACTTGGCCTCAGAAGCAGTTCAAATGGGTGTTGGTGACTCCTTAAAATTACAAGATGATGTTGACAATCTTATGGATAGATTAGACGATTTAGAAGGTAAATTGGACGATAGGTGTTCACAATTACTTTCAGCTTCGACTGCATTGGCACAATACGCAGATAAAGTCAAAGCTCTTGGTAAAAACTTGAATGACTTAGAAGCTGAATTTGACTCATTGAAACCACCTGGTCGAGATATTAAAACTGTTACTGGACAATTAGATGAAGTAGACAAATTTATCAAGAAAATTGCAAGGGCTGGAGATGATGTTACAGTAATGCTTGAACTAGGTCAACGTTTGGAAGACTCTACTTCAATGCGTGATCAAGCAGAATCACTGACACGTTTATTAAACAAACTTGACGAACGAGCATCAAACAGACAAACTGATCTTGAAAATATTTTAGACAGACTACAAGCTTTTAAAAATAAGCATGATAATGTTGTTCAAGACATAGAACATGCAACTGATGAATTTAAGAGTTTGAAACCAATTGGATCTGAAGTGGAGGCAATTAAATTCCAACAACAAGAGTTTGGGTCTTTCAGAAAGAACACCATTGAGCCACTAATTTTGTCTGTCAATGAAGTTAATGGTGTAGGTCAAAGATTAATACAATCTGCTGCCAGGGGTGTAAACACTGGTATTTTGGAAAAAGATTTGGAAAAAATGAATGATAAGTGGAATACACTCAAAGAAAAATTAAACGAGAGGGACAGGCGTCTAGACTATGGGCTTTTACAATCTGGCAAGTTCCAAGACGCTTTAGATGGATTTGCTAAGTGGTTAGCTGATACAGAAGAGTTAGTATCTAATCAAAAACCACCTTCAGCTGATTACAAGGTCGTAAAAGCACAATTACAAGAACAAAAGGTAAATAATTATATATTTTTTAATTATTGTTTGATTAATAATATATTAAACTTAAATTAAATTTTTCAGTTCTTAAAGAAAATGTTAGCCGACCGTCAAAATTCATTGTCATCAATATTTGATATGGGTAATGAAGTTGCGGCTAATGTAGATCCAAGAGAACGTAAGGAAATTGAAATACAATTGAAAGAACTATCTCAACGTTTTGATAATTTGGATCGTGGTGCTACAAAACGCATGGATGATTTGCAAAAAGCTATGGTTGTGGCTAAAGAGTTCTTAGAAAAAATTACGCCGCTCTTGGAATGGTTGGATAAAAGCGAGAAAAAAATTAAGGACATGGAACTAATTCCTACAGATGAAGAAAAAATACAACAGAGGATTAAAGAACATAGTGTAAGTAAAATTAAAAATTAATTTTATTATTATTCCCATTATTAAATAAAAATTTAGTATTGTATATTATTATTATGTTTTTTTATGCTTTATTATTTTTTTATATAATTATTAATTTATACTTTTATGCTATTGAGATATTATGATTTATAATAATGATAACTTTATTTTTTACAATTTTTCCACTTTGACCTATCCATATTTATTTTTTGTTTTAGAAATTACACAATGAAATTTTATCTAAAAATCCTGAATTCCATGATCTTACCGAAGTAGCTAGTACATTAATGGCTTTGGTTGGTGAAGATGAAGCATCTGGCGTAGCAGATCGTATCCAAGAAACAGCTGATCGTTATGCTACACTTGTAAATACCTCAGATAAAGTGGGACAATTGTTACAAGACTCTCGTGCTGGTTTAAGACATCTAGTATTAACTTATCAAGATCTGCAAGCTTGGATGGAAGGCATGGAGAAACGTTTGGGCAAATACAAAGTACTACCTGTGCATACAGACAAACTAGTGGAACAAATGGAGGATATTGCAGATCTATGTGAAGAAATATCAAACCACCAATCAGATGTTGATGGAACCGTAGATGCAGGCATGGAGCTTATGAAACACATAACCAGTGATGAAGCCATTCAATTAAAAGATAAGTTAGACGTATTGCAGAGACGTTTCAATGACTTAGTCACTGCTGGCACTGATTTATTAAAGAATGCCGAAAGCATGTTGCCACTTGTACAGCAATTCCATAATGCTCATAAACGTTTGGGTGATTGGATGTTATCAGCTGAATCACAATTACAAACCGCAGAACCCAAAGAAGAAGACATACATAATTTAGAACTTGATATTCAAGGTATTTAGAAATACTGCAGTACATAATATTTTTTTTTTTCAAATCAAAATTAATACATTTCAATAACAATAAACTATTTTGTTTTTCAGAATTCCGTCCAGTTTTAGAAAACATTAATCAAATAGGACCACAATTGTGTCAAATGTCTCCTGGTGAAGGTGCTTCAACTATTGAAGGCCTTGTTACTAGAGATAATCGAAGATTTGACGCTATTGCTGAACAAATTCAAAGAAAAGCTGAACGTATTCATTTGTCTAAACAACGATCACTTGAAGTCATTGGTGATATGGATGACCTGTTAGATTGGTTCCGTGAAGTAGATAACCAATTAAGAGACGCAGAACCTCCAAGTAGTGAAGTGGATATTATTCGTGTACAACTTAAAGAACACAAAGCACTGAACGATGATATATCGAGTCAAAAAGGACGTGGTAGAGATGTATTGTCTATGGCTAAGAAAGTTTTACGGGAAGTTACACAAAGCAATGACACTAGTCTCATGCGTGAAAAAATGGAAGACCTTCGTGAAGTTATGGATCATGTATCATCTTTAAGTGCTGAACGTTTGAGTATACTTGAACAAGCTCTACCGCTTGCTCAACATTTCCAAGAATCACACTTTGATTTATCTGGTTGGTTAGATGATATGGAGAGACAAGTATCAATGTTAGCTATGCCTGCTTTGAGACCAGAACTTATTGCCCAGCAACAAGATAAAAATGAAATGTTTGTACAGTCTATTACTGAACATAAACCACTTGTGGATAAACTTAATAAGACTGGTGAAGCTTTAATCAGACTATGTAACGAAGATGAGGGAATGAAAATCCAATACATTATGGACAGTGACAATTCCAGGTATGCAGCACTAAGATCTGAACTTAGGCAAAGGCAACAAGCCCTCGAAAAAGCATTACAAGAAACCAGTCAATTTAGTGATAAATTGGAAGGCATGTTGAGAGCATTGCAAAATACTGCCGAACAAGTATCTGGTGCTGAACCTATATCTGCCCATCCTCCCAAAATTCGTGACCAACAAGATGAAAATGACGCTGTTGTTGAAGATTTACATAAGCGTGCTGATGCATTCCAAGCAGTGAAAAGAGCAGCTAATGATGTTATTAATAAGGCTCCGAATTCCTCGGATCCCGCAGTCAAAGACATAAAACGTAAATTAGATCGATTGAATAGTTTGTGGAATGAGGTCCAAGAAGCGACTAATGATCGTGGGCGCAGTCTTGAAGAAGCCCTCATACTAGCTGAGAGATTCTGGGAAGAATTACAGAATGTGATGGGTACACTAAAAAATTTACAAGATTCATTACACTCGCAAGATGCCCCAGCTGTAGAACCAGCTATATTGAAACAACAAAAAGCTGCTTTAAAAGAAATTAAAGCAGAAATTGATCAGACCAAACCTGAAGTAGACCAGTGCCGTGCAAGTGGTAAACAATTAATGAAAGTTTGTGGAGATCCTGATAAGCCCGAAGTTAAGAAACATATTGAAGACTTAGATAATGCTTGGGAAACTGTAACTGCATTGTTTGCTAAACGTGAAGAAAATTTAATACAAGCTATGGAAAAATCTATGGAATTCCATGAAACCTTACAAGTATGAATAATTAATACAATTTTTAATGTGAATTGTAATTAATATAAATTATTTTTAGGATTTGCTCAAATTTTTGGATGGAGCTGAACGCAGATTTGCCAATTTAGGTCCATTGGGAACAGACATCAAAGTTGTTAAAAATCAAATTGGTGAACTTAAGAACTTTAAATCTGATATTGATCCTCAAATGGTTAAAGTAGAAGCTTTGAACAGGTAATAACAGTTATACAATATTAATAAATAATGATTAATTATTATTATTCATTAGTACTTGGTTGTTAAGTATTTATTGTACATAATTACTCTTGTATGTTTTTCTACGGCTTACAATGGATTTAATTATTTTATAGAAGTGTTACTAGGTAATAGTTATAAATTAATTTGGATAAAACCACTTCAATTTTAGTTTAAAATAATATATTGCATATTCTTATATTTTATTTGTTGTACATAATAGGCAAGCCCAAGAACTTACGGAAAGAACTACTGTTGAACAGGCAGCTGCTCTCAAACAACCATTAACTGAAGTCAACCGTAGATGGGAAAATCTATTGAAGGGTATTGTAGAACGACAGCGTCAATTAGAAAACAGTCTTTTACAATTAGGCCAATTCCATCATGCATTGGCAGAACTTCTTGCTTGGATTGATGGTACTAATAAAACATTAGACAAAGATTTGAAACCTGTTGCTGGTGATTCCCAGTTATTAGAAGTTGAACTTGCTAAGCTCAAGGTATTGGTGAATGACATTCATGCCCATCAGTCGAGTGTTGACACTTTGAACGATGCTGGTCGACAACTGATTGAAAATGGAAAAGGATCAGCTGAAGCTAACTCCACTCAAGATAAACTTAATGTTCTGAACAAAAGCTGGAGAGACTTATTACAAAAAGCGGCAGATCGGCAATTAGAATTGGAAGACGCACTGCAAGAAGCCCAAAGGTTTGCCGTAGAAATACAGGACCTGCTATCATGGCTTGGTGAAGTTGATGGTGTAATAGCGACATCAAAACCAGTTGGTGGCTTACCTGAAACAGCTAGTGAACAATTGGAACGTTTCATGGAAGTATATGACGAACTAGAATCTAATAGACCAAAAGTAGAAACAGTTTTGGCTCAAGGACAAGAATATTTGAAAAAATCACCAAATTCTGGAAATCTGCAGCAAAACCTGAAGACCCTAAAACAGCGATGGGATAGTGTGACTGCTAGAGCTAATGATAAAAAAATCAAATTGGAAATTGCACTTAAAGAAGCTACCGAGTTCCATAATGCTTTACAGGTACCTTTGTTTGATAAATATATATATTTAATATATTTATAATATAATATTGTTTTATAATTATTTTTTTATATTATAATTATTAGGCATTTGTTGATTGGCTTACTGATGCTGAAAAAACATTATCTAACTTGAAACCGGTTTCTCGTATTCTGGCCACCATTTTAACACAGATTGAAGACCATAAAACTTTCCAAAAAGATGTAAGCTCCCATCGGGAGATAATGCTTCATTTGGACAAGAAAGGAACTCATCTGAAGTACTTTTCACAGAAACAAGATGTCATACTCATCAAAAACTTATTAATCAGGTAAATTGAATATTATTCAATATTAATGTTATTCATTCAAATAATTTTTATTTAAATTATTGTTTGTATTTTTAGTGTACAACATCGTTTTGAACGTGTTGTGTCAAAAAGTGCTGAAAGAACTCGTGCACTTGATCATGGTTATAAAGAAGCCCGCGAGTTCAACGAAGCATGGTCAAGCCTAATGGATTGGTTGGCCACTGCAGAGAAGAACCTGGATGAGCTAACCCAAGATGCTAGTGTTGGTAATGATCCAGAGCGTATTAAACAACGTTTGGCCAAACACAGAGATGTACAACGAGCCTTAAGTGGAAAGCAAGCAACATATGACTCTACTATGAGAATGGGCAAAGCATTAAAAGAAAAAGCTCCTAAGAGTGATGAACAGCCCTTGAACAAAATGATAAATGAATTAAAAGAAAAGTGGAATTTGGTATGCACTAAATCTGTAGACAGACAGAGAAAGTTGGAAGAAGCTTTGTTATACTGTGGACAGTTTAAAGATGCTATGGAAGCTCTTTTGGAATGGTTACGTAAAACTGAGAAAAGACTAACAGATGACGGGCCAGTGCACGGAGATTTGGATACAGTAATGGCTTTAGTTGAACAGCATAAGGTAAATAATTTAATTGATGTTTAATTTTATTAAAATTTAATGCTATGGATAACATTGCATTCAGTTAAGTGTATATTATTTTTGTAAATATTTTTCATTAGACATTTGAAGAAACATTATCTAAGCGTTATGAACAAATGAAAACTGTACGACAGACTGGTAAAGATCTAATGTCCAAGGCCAATAATGCTGACCGTGCTGTGATTCAAAATCAATTGGATGATTTAGAAGGCCTGTGGAATCGCACTAGCCAACTGTGCGAAAAACGAACCGAAAGACTTGAAGATGCTTTAAGACAAGTAATAAAAATACATATTAGAAACAAATTAAAATATATTTAATGATAAAAAAATTATAGATTGTTAATTAACTCAAAATGTTGCTTATAATTTGTTTAGGCGGAACAGTTACATAAATCTGTACATTTACTGTTAGAATGGTTATCTGACGCAGAGATGAAATTAAGGTTCATTGGACCATTACCAGATAACGAACAAGAAACAAGAAACCAATTGAATGAGCATAGGAAGTTCATTGAAGAAATGTCTGATAAAGAACATGAAAAAGATTCTACTGTTACTTTAGCACAAAGAATTTTAGAAAAGGCTCATCCAGATGCAGTTGGCGTAATCAAGCATTGGATAACCATAATTCAGTCTAGGTGGGAAGAAGTTTGGACTTGGGCTAAACAGGTAAAATAACATCCTTATCAAAACCTGTCTAGCTAATAACTGTCTTTAATGTTGTTAATTAATAATTTGTAATTGTAGCGTGAGCAAAGGCTAGTCGAACACCTACAGTCTCTTCAGGACTTGGACTCATTGCTAGAAGAATTATTCTCCTGGTTGACTAGATTAGAAAACAGATTGTTGGATCTTGAATCTGAACCTCTACCCGACAGTGTAGAAGTGGTTGAAAAACTGATTGAAGAACATCGCGAATTCATGGAAAGCACCTCTAAAAGACAGACTGAAGTTGACACTGTGTGCAAAGTTAAACAACCTACTGCTCCAGTGGGTAGAAAACCATCAGCTAAGAAAATTTCTGCTATCAGGTTTGCTATATCAGAATTTGATAATGTACATTTTTAATATATTTAATAATTATGGAATTATTTTAATTTAAAAAAACAAAAACCAACCATATTTAAACCGTATTTATGGTTTATTTTCAGTTGCATGTTTGTATACTTAGAGCTTATTGTGTTATAGAAATATTTTCATTTTATGTTCGCTTTATATAAATATTGACACAATGTTGCACGCTTAATATTTATAAGATTGCACTTTTGCACATTTTCAGCCGAGAGGACTTGGCTGGCAGTTCACATGATCTAAGTGATCAACGCAGACAAAGGTTGGTATAAAATTCACAATGCACATACATATTTTTGTAATTTTATTGATACCTATATAGTGGGTGGTTAAATGTTGATATTACTATATTTTGGAATTTAGTGATCAGGTTTATCATATAATTGCATGTTGTTTACCACTGTTAGGTATTCAATTTTAAATTCTTCTGTGAGCAAAAAAATAAAATAATGACAATAAAACTATTTAAAACAATAAAAATTAATATTAATAGAGACATGGAAGACAAATACCAACCTATCAAATGACCACTCAAAGGAAAAAGGCGATTCTCTTAACTCTCACTGACATATATATAGATATATTTATCACTATTTTACCGTAAAAAAAATATAAGAACAATCTAAGCCGTTCGATACATCTTATTTTCAATTTATCTGCGTCAATCATCAGTTTTACCAAAATTTTAATTTTTTTTTTTTTTATTATTATTAATATTGAATAATGATTTTAAGTGTGTTTTTTTAGTATGTTAAATATAGCCTTACTTTTATCATTATCAACTTTCTCTTGGTAAGCATCTACTTAATTGCTTACTATTATTTTAATTTAATTTTTAGTATCACTAGTTACAACAGTTTTTATACTTCATGGAATTATTAATTCACTATAGCAATTATATTTATTAAACTTACTTGTTATTTCACGATTTCTAAAGATTACAGAAATTATTGAGTTTTTTGTTGTTGTTTAGTAAAAATATTTTTAAAAAAAACTTTTATTAACATTATTGGTATTGATAATTTTTAATTTTGCTTTTACCATTTGGGTTGATTGAAAAATAAGAACACATTAATATAAAACAAGGTTATAATTTTAAATTTTAAATCCCACTGACAAACCTATGTGCATTATATTTATGCATTTTATTTTATTGATGTGATTTTCTTGACTTTGATAATTGCATCAATAATTAATATTTTGTTGTTTTATTTTTTGTATTTATAGTCGGGGTAGTCAAATCATACGAGATAAGTCCATGGATCATTTGCCACATATTGGACCTCGATTCCCAGCTAAAGGAAGGTAAGCTAGAAAATATTTAGACTTTTACATCAAATAATATGTTATATATTATATACGACATACGTATTATAATGTACCATATTTATTCTTCTGTTCTGTACTCTTTATAACATGTAGAATGCTTAGTTAAATGTTTGTGTCGTGTTTTTAGTGTAGATTAATTTTCTTTTTGACATAATAATTTTGAATTTTTCTTGTAGCAAAGTGGAAGAGCCGCTGTTACGCAATTCGCGTTGTCGACAGCTTTGGGACAAATGGCACTCCGTGTGGCTGATGGCATGGGAACGTCAGCGTCGTCTGCAGGAACATCTTAACTATTTGAGAGAAGTCGAGAAAGTAAGGAACTTCTCTTGGGATCTGTGGAGGAAACGAGTACGTAAATATTAAAATAAATAAAAAAAAACAGTTGTATGCCCTGATTTTGTGTTTTAATTGCATTTGATTTCCGTTTAAAGTTCCTGAAGTTCATGAACCACAAGAAATCCCGGCTCACTGACTTATTCAGGAAAATGGACAAGAACAATGATGGTCTCATTCCGAGAGATGACTTCATCGACGGAATCATGAAAACTAGTAAGTTAAAAATCGATAATGTAGACAGTATGTATTTTAGATAATCTTTGGGGTCAAAAATTAAATACTTTGGTTTGATTTTTCAATAAGTTTTGGATTACGGGAAGAGCCCACTAGGCTGTGAATCTGGAGGGCGAGCTTATTATAATGTGATAATTAATTTTTCCTAGCTATATATTGTCTTATACATGTGATTTTTTAACAGAATTTGACACCAGTAAATTGGAAATGAACGCCGTGGCTGACATGTTTGATCATGATAAACTTGGTCTGATTGACTGGAAAGAATTCATAGCCGCATTGCGACCCGACTGGGAGGAAAAGAAACCAGACACCGAGTCCGAGAAGATACACGACGAGGTTAAGAGGCTGGTAATGCTGTGTACTTGCCGGCAGAAGTTCAGGGTGTTCCAAGTCGGAGAAGGAAAATACCGGGTACGGGGTGTATAATATACGTATTGAGGGATTTTGGGGTTTATAGCGTCATTATTATTATATAATAACTATCGGATTTGTACTGCGATATTTGACGTTTTTCATTTTGATTTTCCACATATAGTTCGGTGATAGTCAGAAACTACGTCTAGTCCGCATATTGAGGTCGACCGTCATGGTACGTGTTGGCGGCGGTTGGGTCGCTCTCGACGAATTTTTGGTTAAGAACGATCCGTGCAGAGGTGAGTAATTCGTTAACAGTATTATCGACAAACATTCTAAATACATATTATAAATAAATATATATATATAATAGTAATTCAATTAATCTTTAACCGATGGTCGGGTAAATTTTGGATAAATAAATGATATATGTTATATGTATATTAATAATAACTAATTAATAAGTTAATTTTACTGTTATTTTAGTATCTCTTAACCGGTGCCTCGTTAGTACAAGGGTAAACATAATATACATACCATACACGTGGTTAACAAACAGAAAAGAATATATTAAATAACATCAATATATAAATACATATCATATTAATAATTATTAAAAACAAACTCTTGAGAAAGTAAAAAGAACTTAAACGAGTGTATATATTCTATACATACTAACTCAAACGCATGTGTACATTATACATATATAATATACTATTATATATATTACATTAACATTGAATATGATTTTAGTTTCCAAAGTACGTAATTTACATAATATTATGACACTGTTGTTTCTCATATTTTATCTGTTCAATTTTGATTTTCTCCTTATCCACCGTTTCCTATATTCATGATTTTTGTTTTGTTTGGTTTTTGTTTTTCAATATTATTCTTTCTTTTCCGTTTTGATTTTGATTTCTTTTTTTGGTTGAGTCTAGTTGAAATGTTGCCGATGCCCAACCCATTCGTGCCTGAAGAACACGAACCGTGGTGTCCTTACAGCCTAGTCCAATTGAATTGTATGATCGCTATGTCATTACATATTTTTGAACCCTTTTTTTTCGATGCACGTGGTTTTTTTTATGGTTTTTCTTATTTTTGCGTTTTGTTGTTTTGTATTTCTCGACGGTACACTGCGCCGCGTACCGTAAGCCTTCTTCAACTATCAAAAAGGTATATTATTACATGGTCGATGTCAGCTTTAAATTATTTTAAAAACTTAATCAAGCACTCGCGTAACGCATTTAGAAATTAGAATACGTTTTTCGTAGAAATTGCAGGTATAGCATCGATTTACATAGTTTGCTACACTAAATATGATGTTATACATGCAATATAGTTTTTGTAACACGTATTTCGCGCATGCGTATCCCACGTATGCATATGTAGCGAGTTCGCAGCCGCCTCCTATAAGTCCTGAAATCCTTGCACTCTTTCTCTCATAAGCGAAACTATTTACTGTACTCTATATACTTATGTATAGAAATTTCGATTGGCGTGCCCAAAATACAAATTTAACAACTGATGAAATATATATAAATGTTTTTGCTAAATGCAAAAATATAATAAGGTACATTTATATTTATATATAATATATCAATACGCGTAAACAAATACATAACGGCCACGAATTCGATAGTTTCGCCTATGCATGTATCCTGCAGTCTATTATTATTTTAATATATACCGCTCACAAGCATGCTAATAGTAAGTTTATATACATATTACGTATAATATATTATTATACGCGCTGAATGTCTAACCTGGCGTGAGGACACTAATCCGGTTTGGCTTCTTATAACGATATAATATACTATATAGTTTATATTTAAAATAATATATTATACTTTAGTTGTAATAATATTTTTTTATTTTTTTTTTGGATTTTTAATTTATATAATTAAATTTTATTTTAATTATTATTATTTTAACACATTAACGTTTTTATTTTGTTTGTTTTTTTTCACTATTTCAATATTGTGATGTGTTTGTTTATTTCGTTTGTTTTTGTTTTGTTTTGTTTTGTTTTTTTTAACAATTTTATCCTTCTCATCACACCTTTTCATTTCCTTTACGCACTCACAGCCAAAGGACGCACAAACATCGAACTCCGCGAGCAGTTCATACTGGCCGATGGCGTGTCACAGAGCATGTCTGCATTCAAACCGAAACACAACGCGCAACAACAACAGCGGTCTGGTTCTACTGCCGGTCCGATCACCAAGGTAAAATGACTAATATATCCGTCAAATAACTTACGTGTATATTATTATATAATATATACTATTTTGTTATTATATATCCAAGTAAGAAAGCACGGACTGTACCTAAAAATATATTTTTATGAACACCGTTTTTTGGCCGTATCGTCATTGCATCGTGCAGTAATTATTATAATGTGTGCAGTGAAATATTGGCTTTTTTTTTTACTTATATTTTTTGCTCGCTGCTGCTATTTTTATTTTAGTTTTCTGAGTGCGTAGTAGTTAGTCATATGTAAGCGTGACTTAGATACTTATGTATCATTTGAACTACCTGGATCGATCGAGAATTTTCCATGTACACGTACATAATATTATACGTATGTATAGGCATTCATTAAATTATTAAATATACAGTACAATCAATAGTGTACACACTATAAGTATTAAGTACCTATTAATTTATTGGACTACCAATTAGAAAATTTTTGTATATTAATTGACTAATGAAATATTAAGGTGTACTTTTATTATATTTTAATATATTATTAGATTACTATATTATGTCATTTAACACTATTATTTGGAAAAATTTAAATATTATAAAATAAATGCATAATATAGGTAATAATCATAAATACAAATAATTTAAAATAAGTATTATTCTTTAGAAGTAAAAACAAATTTTAACGTTTCAAAATCGAATCAAATTGGTTTGAATTTATCTGATTTTGCTGCAACATAGTTCTGCCAAATATTATTCAATGTTTGGTCGAATGAGGTTTGTAGACTTCGTTGCGCCACTTCACTATAATCCCCATAATATTTCTAAATTTGCTGTGCCAAGATCAACCATCTTATTCTTATACTAATTTTCATGAATTCTATCAATGAGATAATTCAAGAGACTATATTATTACAAGTTATTAAATAAGTTTTAGTATGAAATTTCGATATATTAAAATATAAAGATCCAACTTACCTGCTCAATAGTCCATAGAATTATTATCTTCCTAGAGATTCAAGCAATCAGGCAGATGCGTGGATATTAAAAAAAAAAAAACTTGATATCGATGGCGTAGCGCACAAGTGTGATAAGTGACATTTTTTTGAAAAATGAGTTAAGTGCATAATCAATTTAATCATACAATTCTGCACATTATGCCCAAACGTTGTAAGTGAATAGTTCATTATTTACTCCGATAGATGTCGTACAGTTCGTTACATTTTTGAATTTGTTATGACATCTCAAACTTAAAAATCGTTCTCCTGAACAATTACGAAAATGTCACTTATCACACTTGTGCGCTACGCCATCGATATTATCTACCAAAATAGGAAACTGGCAATAATAAATTGGAACATTAAAAAACTACAAAAAGAAAAGGTGATATTATAAAAGATCATCTATAGTTTTGAATCATCTATTCAGAAAGAACATGGAAGTTATCAGATTTTACACCATACATTTTCACACACTATTTTCTTCCATTTAAGTATAAACAAAACCACGTCTCACTCCAATATTTTATGCTATTTTATTAGTAAATTAATATATACATATATGAAAAAATAGAGGTAGTCCAAAGAAAATACGTATATACTTATATAAGTGTGTACGTCTGGTAATTTTTCGAACGAACCATGTAGTACGGATAATACGTAAGTTTCGTATAAGTTATATTATTACACACACAGATATATATATATACATATATGGCGTGAGCTCTACTTCTAAACTGTCGGCTTGTGGTTTGTATTGAGTGCATATTTTTTGTATACTACAAATATATATAGCGAGGTGTGGAAAAGAAACGAAAATCATATATAATATTTATGAATAAGTTCTCAAGGGTTATTTTAATAAAAAAAAAACTGAAGATTCCCTTCTGCATATTGTGATCGTATATTTGTCAATCGTATCATAATAAAATATAATTATTAAGTAATATACGAGATGATACTCTTTGGCTACGTCGAGGCACTTCGGGGGAGAGCATGATGAGAATGTTTCGATGATCGATAGTAAATATATGTTTTAAAAATTAAACAGCCGAAGAGTTTATGAGAGAGTTGATGCCAATATTCGAGAGTTTAAGACAACGAGAATCCTTGCCGTGTTCGTATCCTCTTGCGATGGGCCCCAGCAGGCAAATCAACACTTTTTGGGTAAATTGTCAAAAAAAAGGAAAAAACTGCACTCTAGCGTTTTTTCAATTTTTTTTTTTATGTTTTATTTTTATTAATATTTATTTTTGTGCTATTGGGCGGCGGTGGCGGCCCTCATCAATGTTATATTATTATATTATTGTTTCGGTGTTGTTCGGTGGTGTATAGTCGCGGAGAAGCAAACCAAATACTCACTAGTTATGCAATAATCATCATTGTTCAATAGTATAAATTCGAAAAAAATCTAACTTTAGAAAACTACGCTAACTAGGTCAATTAGTTTTGAGTTAATTAATTATTTTGACAAAATCTTTTAAAAATCTAGAAATTACTTTAGCATTTAAACGTGTCATTGAATTCTAAACGTTATTATTCTTATACCATTTTATAAAAAATCGCAACAAAGGTACTCTAAAAGGTCGATTATAAAATAATAAGTATTTTTATAAGATCTTCGATTTCACAGAGTTAGATGGGTCCAAGTAATTTGCACTATTTATAGGAAGGAGTGAGGAGATGATAAAAAACTAGTGGCTAACTTTATTTCATGAATACCTATATATTGATGACGCCCGTCACGCCACTGATCAGTATAATTGTATATAGTTGTATCGCCACCGCCGCTATACGTACCTTTCTACATTATAAATATAATATTTTATCGTAATATTATTTACTATAATAATTATACGTATACACATTATTATTACTATCTTAATTATAAATATAATTATTATATTCGATGAGTCTTCGTGCGCCGTGTTCGTGGTTTTTTTTAACGCTGGAAATGTGTGTATATCAGGTGCGTGAACGGAGTTCCAGGAGCGTGCCGATGGGCAAGATGGGTGTGAATCGCACAGCCGGCACTCCAGATTCGCTTAGCGACAACGAATCGTCGCCGCACTCCAGGACTTCAGTCGTCAGGAAACCGTCCACGCCGACTGTCAGGAAGTCGAACGTCGGGCTAACTGGAAGTCTGCCGGCCAGCCGACCGGCTAGCAGACCAGCTAGCAGGCCGCAGAGTCGTCCGGGAAGCAAGCCACCCAGCCGTCACGGATCTAACCTGTCTCTCGACAGTACCGGTGATTGTTTATTTACTATTATTTTTCGTTATAAAATTATTCCCGTACTTGTATACATAAATTATATGATGCACAAGGTGGATCTATTTAACTAGTTACAAATACTTCATCTATCCATTAAAATAAAAAAACTAATTATGTTTTCATTTGTTGAAGTACCTACCTAGTACTTAGACTTTTTTTCTATTTGTGTTACCGTAACTAACCGTAGGTGAAATAGTATTTATGGACATGTGTATAGTTCTTTTTTAGTTTTTACTAGCTCACGATAAGCGCTATAAAGTATTGTAATATTATACTTAATGGAGTCATTTTTTCTATAGTGAATAATTTCGTATGTTTCTGATGACTTAGGTACCTATATAATATTAATTATCAATTCATTACGTCATATAAATTATCATCACACGGCGTTATGGATAGGCTATTTAGGTACACCAATGTCGTGTGTCCATTTATCCATTATTTCAATGTATAAATGTGTAATATCTATTGTGTTTAAAGTTTTTGTGATCGAAGTGATGCGTGCGTGGTATGTCACAAATTCGTGGTAAATTCCCCCACTAGTTTTAACTTTAAAAGTTAAAAATGATTTAATAATGTGTCACAAAACCATAGGTTTATTATTATTTGTTAATTAACACCTTTGTTGCAATATATTATAAATGTGATTATACAAATTATTGCTATATATCATAATATACATTATACAGTACGTAATAAATATATATTCCTATAATAAAACGTGTACATTCATCGTATTTTAGATTCGACTACGCCAAGTCGCATACCAAGACTTACGCCCGGCAAGACGCCTTCTTCGACATCCGCCACCCGCAAGACTACGCTCAACGGACAGACCAACACTACCGGCAGGGGAGTGCGCTCGCCGTCAGCGCTGACCAGCCAATCGCCGTCATCGTCTTCCAGGTAATACATACATACATATATATTTATAATAATGCATATTTATTCTATATTATAATACATATCGCTCAGTCATATGATAGATCTTCTGAAAATATTTTTTGTTTATAATTTTTTTGGAAACGAACACATTTTTGAAAAATATGTACTACATACCTATGAATTATATAGGTAATATTAATTATTAGTTATTACGATAATTTATCATTCATTGATATCATCATCATAATAATTATTAACTTTTTTATAATATTATTAACTCGCCTAACTCTCACTAACCACGTTACTGTTATTTATCCATTTCATGCAGGTCCCTGTCAATGCACAGGTCGTCGAGTATACCTACGTTGTCTTATTCAAGCTCTAGGTAACTAACATTTTTAACATTTTAAGTAATATAGTAATTATATATCTTCAAGGCTTCAAACATAATTAGTATTTTATGAAACACTCTAATTAGCACGTTTTGTATACAATACAATCGGTGATGGATAAAGTAAAATGTAACTCACATCATAATCGTTGACTGTAGTCGATTTTACGGTCACGATTTGTGTATTATAATGTGTAAAAGTGCTACAAGTTTGAATGATTCAAAGAAAAAAAACAATAGCACACTATTCGATATTTTTCCTCTACAGTGAAAATTCTATGAATCAAAAACATGTTTTTATTCATAAGTAATCATGATGACAACGTACATTTTCGAAAAATCAACATTTTATCGTATATCCTGGAGGTTCAAAACATATCTATATTAAAATATTTTCTGATAGGTATGTGTATTTTATACACCTACGAGACTATTATAGGACTACCGCCGTTTATCTCTCCCGGGTGTACGATATACGAATTCATATGAGTTTACTATGAGTGTTTGCTAAATAACATTTATCCGTCCGATTAAATATTTCCTATCAACTAATACCTTTCAGTGCACCATGATATTTATAAATATTTTATTCAATCAATTTAAATCAGACCGGTCTTTCAGTCACGCTCGCACTTTATTTATAGAACTTCATTTTGAAAAACTCGGCTTAGAAAGTACATAGGTACCTATAATGGTACCATTACCTGACTTGGTAATCCAAATGGATCGTGACGAAATTTCATCAGTGGCCAAATGTTTGAGATATTATTTAAGTTGTCATAATTTCTTGAAACATCGAATGACCCGGGTACGTGACTTGTAAACGTCGTGTAATGCAGGGCGGGCGGTGTCGGATCATTCGTTAGACGCGTGTTTTCGATTCGATTAATGCGTACACACAAATTAATAATATTATTTATTTCTCGGACGGTTGTGCAGCCGTAACCATCACCCGGGTTCGAAAATACCCGTTCTCGCGGAACATCAGTGTTCCTCGGCGACAGTGCCCACGTCTTCGTCTTCGCCGCCCCTTTCGTCGTCGCCGTCCTTTTCGTCGTCTCCGTCTGCTGGGTAATGCGCAACAACAGTCAAAACATATAATACTGTGCCACTTGCCTCGTATTATATTATATTACTGTATACCCGTTTCCGTTTTCGTTGTGTGTTACCCCGTCAATGCTTTCCTTGATCACTTTCTGTGTATTATTTTTACTGTATCTTGCACGCTATCGCTATCACATCTTATACGCTCTTATCTGCGTCTGTTTACATGTACAGTGTACATGCACTACTTATATGTACGAACACGTGTACAATTTTGTACATGCTATACAGAGTGATTCATATTTTGAATTGCAGACCCTATACTTTAGATACTTTATGTTTAAATATTTAGTTTATTTTATTTATAACCATTTATAAAACATTGGCTTGTACGAGTGTAGCGTATATATTGCACTATATTAATATTACGCTATTACGCTATTGATATTTTCTCCACTTTAAATTGAATGTATACAAAATAAAAACTTTAATAGATAACATATTTGTTAAAAATTAACACGATTAAAACATGATGACTAAAATCAGTATAAAAACTTATTTTTTTTTTAAATCACAACAATTAACTTAGAAAATGTAGAGGTGCTTCAAGTTATATGAATCGCTCTGTGCACCATTCTAACCTAAAATATTATTGTCTTAATTCCACCGCTTCTCGCCGTGTTTGCCTACTTAAATGCAAACTACATGCCTATTTATTTCCTGCAATGTGTGTTTTCTAGTTACTTGTCTACCAATCTCATTTTTTTCTGTGTTTCTTGTGTGTTGTTTGTATGCATATATATATATACGTAATAAGTACCTACATCTATAATATGTCTTAAAATATTAGGGGCCGGTTGCATAAAGACCAGTCTGTAAATGTTTTCACGGACCTGTAACATAATTACTCGTTAACTCGTTAACGGCTAGTAAAAAATAAAAATGAGTTTCATAAAAGATTATTATTATTTGGTATTTTATTTTAATAAAAAAAAATGTGGCTGATAAGAAATTTTAATATTTCTTATCACCATATTTAACGGATCGTTAAAAGTTAACGAACCAAAATCGGACCTGTAGTTTACAGGTCCAATAGCCGATAATTTACAGACCCGTTAACGTTAACAGTCGTTCAAGCAACACCCAATTTTTTTTAACGGATCGTTAGTGCGTTAACGGCTCTATAAATCACTAATGAACGTTTATGCAACCCACCCTAAGTCGTACACCCGTATGCTCTTTTTATTTTTAAAAGTCAACTCTCACTAATTTTTTAATTCCCAATTGCGAACCATACTCAATTTTTTAATGACCATATTTACATTATTAGAATATGTCTATTATTATTTGTTTGTAACGTTCAGAACTTTAGATGTGGTATTTCGAGGATATATGACTCACAAATATAATATTATTGGTTCAATTTTCAAATTCCGCACTTAAACGTTTCTAAAGACCAAGTCAATTAGTTAGTGTCCAACACGTTATCAATGTTATTATATTACATGTCATAGACGGAATTTCAAGGGGTGCTCACATTAATCAAAATTTTCTGACACTCAGTATGACATATTATATCAGTGTAATTACTTACCGGTAATCAATTGATATAATATATATATTTTTAATAAAATATATTATTTATTGCTTTTCTTTTTACTAAAATTTAAAAATGACACTAAAATATTTACAATGACTAATGCTTACAATAAATTAATATTCGTTTGTTACTTGTTATACTAATTTCAAAATAATTACATATTATATTTTTTTTTTTTTTTATTGATCTATTTTTTATTTAACAACCCGGCATCATAGGCCATTAGTTACAGTTTTTTTTTTGTGCTACTTTTGTTACATGCTTATATTTATATTTACATTTGCATTATATTTGTCCTATTAAATTAATCGTTTTTAAAAAATTAAGTATTTTCCTGTTTTGAGCGGGATCCGGACCGAGTAGTGAATCGAGTGTTTCTGTAATGTTGAAGTTTATTCGTTCCTGTTGATAGAGTTGACATTCCGTTAGTATGTGTTTGATGGTGAGGGGGGTCCCACATCCTTCACATGTGGGAGGTTCTTCTTTTGACATGAGGTATCCATGTGTTAATCTGGAGTGCCCAATTCTGAGTCGGTTTATAGTGGTTTCTTCTTTTCGGTTAAATTCATGATTTTCCCAACTGAATGTTGTTCTTTTTATCTGGTTTAGTTTTGTGTCTTGATCGTTCCAGAGTAGATGCCATCTTTTCCTTATTTGTGTTTTAACTGCCTTTTTGATGTCGTCATATGAGGAGATGTTTAGTTTGGTTGTGTTTTTGTTGGATGCGGCAAGTTTAGCGTATTTGTCCGCTATTTCATTCCCTGCGATGCCGGTGTGTCCGGGGATCCAAATTATTGCTATTTGTTTTTTATTTGTTTTGGCTTCATCAAGTTGGTTTTGGATGAGGACTGAGATGTCATTTGGGTTGTTTTTGTTTTGGATGTTCTTTATGGCGCTTAGGGAGTCACTAAGGATTACAAACTTTGTATGTTTAGTGGTTTGGATGGTTTCAATGGCTTTTAGAATGGCTATAGCTTCAGCTGAAAATATTGAGCACTCATTTGGAAGTTTGAATGTTATATTAGTATTTTCAAGTACGATGGCAATACCGACACCTTCGTTTCCCTTTGAAGCATCGGTATAAATTTTTTGGTGGTCCTTGAAGTCGTCAAGGATGTTGTAGACATGGCTTCTAAATATCTCAGGTGATGTATTTTGTTTAGAAAGGGTATTTAGTTCGGTGTTGATTACATAGCAGTAATCCCATGGGGGGGTGTTATTGATTTCTCTGGGGATAATTTTAATTGGGGTTGCTGCATTTTCGTTGGTTAGCTTGGTTATTTCTTCATTTACGTCCCTATTTTTATCTTTGTTGAGTCTGGATAGTCTTGCTATATAATTTATGAATAATTCTGTTCTTTTCAATGTAGGAGGGGATTCGCCAGCTAAGTTATAGATGCTGAGAATAGGGCTGCTTCGAAAGGCTCCTATTGCCAGTCTTAAACCGCTATTGCTTACTGTTTCGATCAGTTTTAGAGTTGTATTGGCTGCTGATCTGTATAGAATTGCGCCATAATTGATTTTGGCTTGGGTGGTTGCATTGAATATTTTCAGGAGCGACTTGGATTCACCGCCCCATGAGGTGTGGGATAAAATTTTAATTATTTTTAATGAGTTGTTTGTTAATTTTTTTAGATATTTTATGAAGGGGGACCAGGTTTGGCGTCTATCGAATATTACTCCTAGCATTTTCGTTGTGTTTTTATTGGTTATTGTGGTGCCGTTTAAATTGATTACGATATCTTTTGCTCTTTTTTTTGTAAAGATTGTACATGTTGACTTCCCTGGTGAGAAGTTGAATCCTGTTTTGTTTGCCCATGTTTCAATGTTGTTGGTAGTTGTTTGTAATAGGTTTTTAACTGTTTCAATACTATTGCTCCTGCACCAGAAGTTAAAGTCATCTGCATACATATTGCATTTTACAGGTAGTCTGCAATTTTGGACTATGTCGTTAATTGATATTAAGAGGACGCTACACCCGCATGTGTTGTCTCCGTCTTACAAACGCGTAACATAGCAAATTACGTCCACGGAAAACAAACGAATCGGCATCAAAAAGTGGTTTTAGAGTAAAAATACCTATAATAAAACTTAAAGAGAACAATATTTTGGAGGGAACCTCATCGGCGTTTTTAAAAATATTAACTATTAAAAAAGTTGTGGTTATTTAAAAAAATGAGTTTTTGTGCCTTCAATATCTAGCTGTGTATTTAGATTAATACAAAACCCCGATGAGGTTCCCTCCGAAATATTGTTCTCTTTAAGTTTTATTATAGGTATTTTTACTCTAAAACCACTTTTTGATGCCGATTCGTTTGTTTTCCGTGGACGTAATTTGCTATGTTACGCGTTTGTAAGACGGAGACAACACATGCGGGTGTGGCGTCCTCTTAAGAAGAGAGTTACTGAGAGAGCCGAACCTTGGGGTACTCCATTTTCTTGCGTAAATTCGTGTGATAGGTAATTGTTGGCTCTTACTTTGAATTTTCGGTTTGATGTGAAGTTAGATATTAAATTTAGAAGTCTGCCCTTGTTGAGGACTGAATTTAATTTAACTAAAATATTATGTCTCCAGGTGGTATCATATGCTTTAGCAATGTCTAAGTTGATTACGCCCATAAATTGCTTGTTTTCAAATGTTTTGGTTATTTCTTCATTTATTTCGTAGAGGCTATCCATAGTGGATCTATTTTTTCTGAAGCCGTTTTGTTTTGTTGAGAAGAAATTGATTTTTTCTAGAAACCAGGTCAGTCTGTAGTTTATTATTTTTTCTAGAAGTTTGCACATTGTGTTGAGTAGAGTTATCGGTCTGTATCCTTCAGGTTTGAATTGATTTTTATCATGTTTAGGGATAGGAATTATGGTCCCGGATTTCCATTTTTGGGGCCAATATCCCTCATTAAATATTCTATTATAAATGTTAAGCAGAAGATTAAGAGTTTTTGTCCCAAAATTTTGGATAAAGACGTATGGGATGGTGTCGGGTCCGGGGCTATTGCTATTGCATGTTTTTAGTGTGTGTGTTAATTCCTGTATTTTGATTTCTTGGTTGATTTGTATTTGGTCTTGACAATTTTTATCGGAGGTATTGCTTATAGCTTCTTTTTCGCATTTTTGTTTGTTTACTAGAAAGTGTTGTGTGTAGTTGTTGTCACTGCTATTTTTATAAAAATATTCGCCGAGGTTATTTGATATTTGATCTGGTTTATTTATTAATTGGTTAGAATTTGGGTCGATTAAGTTGATTTTTTTATTTCGTCTGAGTCCTTTTAGAGATTGTATTTTGTTCCAAACTGATTTTGAGTCGGTGTTTTCTTTTATGCTGCTAGTGAATTTTTCCCATGACGATTTTTTACTGGTTTTTATCAGGAATTTTGATTTGGCTCTTAAATGTTTTAGTAGTATAAAATCGTCTAGTTTATTTGTTTTTTGGAACTTTCTAAGGGCGTCGTTTTTTTCTTTAATTGAATTTTTAATGTCGTGGTTCCACCATGGTACTTTGGGTTTGGGGTTTTTTGATTTGGTTTTTCCTATAGTCTGGTTGGCTACTGAGATAATTGTTTCCGTAAATTCGTCAACCAAGTTTTCTGTGTTTTGAAATTCAGATTTGTCTATATGGGAAACTTTGTCATCTAGTGTTTCAGAGAAAAGTCTCCAGTCTGGGTTTTTCAGATTCCATCTTTCGAGGTTGGGGATGCTATCGTTATAACGGGGGATAAGTTGTATTACAATTGGAAAATGGTCGCTGCTAGTAATATTGGGTAGGACCGACCAGTTGAGCCTTTGTGCTAGGGATGCATTTGCGAATGATAAGTCAATATTTGAGAAATTGCCATTAGTTGGATTTATACGCGTTGGTTCCATGTTGTTGAGTAGTACCAGATTATCGTTTTCCAGGATTTTTTCGATTTCTTTCCCTCTGCTGTCGGTGCTTAGGGAGCCCCAACTGACGTTGTGGCTGTTGAAGTCACCTGTTATGATGAAGGGCTTGGGTAGTTGCTTTATTATATTTTCTATGTCTTTATCCGTAAATGTGTGTTGGTTGGGTAGATATATGTTGCATACGTTTACTTCAATATCATTGAGTTTTACTGCTACTGCGATTACTTCAAGGTGGGTTGAGATATAGATTTCTTTAGATGGGTATATAGAGCTTACGTATGTTGTTACTCCACCGCTGGCCCTAAGTCCAGTGGTTCTGTGTTTGCCAAAATCATTGTAGTTGGGTAGTTTTGCGGTATTTAGATTTGTAAAGTTGGTTTCTTGGAGACATATTATGCCAGGAGAGATTTCGGATATTAGTATTTTTAGTTCGTCTAACTTTTTGTAGAAACTATTCATATTCCAATGTAGTATTTTCATTATTATTTTGTGTTAAATTTTTTTTTTTTAATTAAGGTTTGATGGGGGCGAGAGATATGAATAGGATTTTTTATGTTTTTTATAATTGCTCTGTGGTAGGGTTGTTACCTAGAGTTATATCGAGTAGGGAGTTGGAGAGTCTGGATAGCCTGTTTTTGATGCTTAGATTTTTAACCTTAGGGCGGATCGTATCCAGAATTTCGATCATTTCCATCCACGATATATTGAACTCCTTTAGAACACTAGAAGGGTCCTGGGTGCTGAGTGTATTTTCTATTATGTATTTGAGTTGATTAAAATCTATTTTTCGATTTGGCATTTTTTCAAACTCCAGCTTGGCTGATGCTAACGACTCGTCTAATTTTAATATAATTTGTTCAATTGAGTTTGATCGTTTTGGTTTTTTTGTGAGCGGTTGGGTTGGCTTATTGGCTTTAGGGTTGGAATCGTTGGTCTTTGGAGTTGTAGGATGTGTTGTTGGTGGGTTGTTTGCTTTTCTTTCTTTGGATTGTGACTCTTTTAATTTTGTTACTAATGAGCTCTTGTTGATTATTACGTTTTGTGTGATACTTTTTGTTTGAGATAGATTAATTGGATTTTCTGTGGTGAGGTCATTATCCATGTTTAAAATGCTAGAAGATGATGAAGGCGCTGGTCGTTTTACTTGTTCCACTTGTTCTTGGGAGGAAAATGGAGAATTACTAGTACTGTTTGATTGGTGTTCGAAATCATGTTGTTGAGTGTTACTTTCTGTGTCGTTGACGCTTGGGATAGAATTTTGGTGGCTCTGTTGGGAATCAGTAATTTTATTTTCTGTTGCATTTTTGCATCGATTTGATGTGTGACCAGTTTGTTTGCACAGGTAACATATTACCGTGTCATCTGATAGAAAGATACGGTATTCTGTTTGTTCGAATTCAATTAAGATTGAGCTGGGTAATTTATCATTGTCGTCTGGGTTTATATATAATTGTCGGCGGAAGCTACCAATATGCCCATATTCATTATCAGTGAAACCGGCCTTCATAAAGGTAATCGGTGATAGTATTTTAATTGACAAATTTGCGATTGCGTTTTTAATTGCTTCGTGCGGTATGATCGGTTGAACGTTAGATAATATTATTCTTTTGGCTGGGTTAATTAGACGGCGGAATGTTATCTTTGAATTATTTATGACAATGTGTGACTGCTGGCTAATTATTTGTTCGACAATATTTTTATTTGTAAAGTAAATGCAAAATCTATTATTAGATATTCTAGATGCGAATGTGATGTTGGTTGGTGAAGTAAGTTGACTGAAGGCTTTAATATACTCAATTTGAGGGACATCTTCAATAGAGTTAAAAACGATTGCTTGGTCTTTTTTTGGAAATTGTATGTTTGCTGTGGTTTCTGCGAAAGTTTTGGTGTTGTTGGTTTGAGAAGCGGACGGTGAAGTGTCGAGAGAGTTGGGTTTGGTGGGATCCATATTTTGGATATGAGGTGGGGGGTCGAGGTTTTAGGCACCTGATGTAACAATGGTTATCGATAGTGTGTCTACATACCTTCTTGATTGCTGCTTGTCGAGTTTTACTGCTATCGGAAGCTATATAAATGCGATTTGCGTTGACCGTTGCACACGTGTGTATCGGTCGGAGGTTGCACACGTACTGACATATTATATTGTTATGACAGTAAAGTGCGTGTTATAACGACGAGTTGTGTGAATATTAAATTTAGATATTTCATGTAACTTACGACTTCTCGTTAAATAAAAAGTAAAAATTATTATTTAATAGCTCGATCTTACATTTTCCGATACGAAATTGAATTGCTATATGATTCTAGTACAAACATTAGAAACTAGCATATAATAATTTAAAAAAATCTCAAACTCTACAACATAATATTCTGAACAAAATGGTTTTCTCAATGTCAGTTTTATGAGACGACACAATAGTGCTGGAGCCCTCCAAAGAGCGGACTCTCTTTTCCTTAATTTCAACCTTTGTTACATAGTGTTATAATTTTTTATATTTATTTTATGTCTATTGTGTTGTCCATACCATAGCATAGTATTATGCCATATACCTCGTACGTATGTCGTGCATTGTGTGCATAATTCATGTAATAGTTCGCATATAAGTATGGCCTTGTCTCGTGTCGCATGGTGTTAATCGTCATTGTGTTCGTCCACCCGTCTGCTTAAAAATAATTTTGTTTTACTTTTGTCTTCTCCGCGCACAGGTTGCAGTCTCCGTTGGCCGCCACTCCATTGTCGTCTTCCGGTCTGTCGCGAAGGCCGTCGAATGCGTCCGAAACGAAACGAAGGGACTCTAAACCGGATTCCCGGGAACCGTTCCGGCTCTGAAAACCTGCACCGGAACAGACATATAAAATATGTATACGCATAATTGGTGTTTAACCCCGTAATCGATATTTATAATTATTATTTCATTTAATCAAAACGTTGATTAATCTCTTAATTAATCCTGTCTAGTGTTTTTTTTTAATTTTTAAAAAATTGAGTATTATTATTTTTTACATATTATCTTTTTTTTTGTTGCCTTTGAATTTGTATTCTACCTACTCGTTTTTTTGTTTCTTTAGCCAAAGTAGAAAGTTTTTCATTTTATAAAAATATCAAATTAGTTTTCGAACGCGTAATTTATATATAATATGTATAATATTATGATTCACTATACAAACAAAATCAATACTTTTGCCTGTACAAACTATATACCTACAGGGGATATAATATTATACACTTATTATGATATTCAAGTGCCATTATAACGGAAAAAAGTAATGAAAAAAATCGTAATACTGTGTCACCGTTCATATTAATTGCGATCCAGCGGTTCAATATTGTTATTTATTGTAATTTTTTTTTTATATATATATTTATTTTAATGTATATAATCTCTATATACGGATGGTTAATAAATTTACATTAAAATTATTTACAAGTGCCAATATTGTATTATTTACTTCTTCGATATATTTTTTTATGTAACGTGTAATTATATTAAACTTATAACATATTGAGTAATTAATGAATACCATTGAGACACTTATTGTAACTCTAAAAATTAACCAATCGTAACAACAAATGATTATTTTTTAACTATTTATAATATTTAATTGTTTTCCCGTTGCGGATTGAATAAATTGTGCAATTGTTTACTTAACAAGTTTGTTATTTATTTATGCCACCTATATTGTCTTTATAAGTGCCAAAAGGTTGAGAGTGATTTAACCTAAACATTATAGGTAATAACTAATAATTGATAATTGTCAATTCTATTTACCTACATTTTTAAAATACTATCGGTGTCAACGCAAGTGAGTAAATGTGTTTAGTTAGGTAACTTAATTTGACATTAGTCATAATTTTAACTTTATTTTACTTAATTAATTTAATAAATTATAAAATAAAATAATTTACTATTCCGGTGTACTTAAAAATAGTATTAAAAATTTTAAATATTTCAAAATATATCTACAACGAGTGTGTTCTTTATTGGATTAATAAATTGTATATTATCTCCTACAAAGTTTAAAAGCCATTAATCAAAATATAAATCAAACCTTTTATTATTCAAATAATTTGATATGTTTTTGGTACTATGAATTTATTCTTATTCATTCAAAACTCAAATGTTTTAAAAATTGATTATTTCAATATTATCAATAATAATAAGTATCTATATATGAAATTAATTTATAATAAAAATATTAAAAAGGAAATTTAAATATATCAGCGGTATTAAAATAATTAATATTATGGTCATTCAGTCATATATTACATTATTAAGTTTTTTTAAATTGAATTTCTATGTAGTCATGGTATATACGTTTATGTTGATGGTAAAAGTAATATATAGATTTTATACATTTACATTTACCTTTACATTTTATTAATTTTTGCAAACAACAAAATGCTCAGTATCCAAATCCATAACGCTCTTCTCGATATCTTCATCTACAATATAAAAAAGGTGCACTGCTGTACAGTAGGTTACAAGTGGGTCATTGTATAATGGATGGTATTAAATTTGAATTCAATGATATAATATCAAATGGTTTATTTTTTTCTATCATAATTTTTTTCTTATATATAAGTATATTTTTAAAAAGTCTGGGCTTTTTAAAAGTGACAAATAAATATATATTGTTAAAATTATAAATATAAATATTATGTTGCCTACATATTTGGTTATCAGCATATATGAAGCTATAGTTAGTCCAAGCTGTTTATGTTTGTTGGTACACAAATATTGATATATTTTGTATACCTAACGGGTATTCGCTAGGAGTGATTCACTAGGTTGCTCTTTAAAAAATCATTCTCAGAATATAAAATGATTTTTATGTCTACATTTTCTTGGGTTTAACTGGTTATATACTTATTTTTTACTCTAGTTAATTTAGAAAAAGCTCTCTTGGTACATAAATAACATTATTAACTATTGATGATATTATTGATATCAATGAAAATTTTAAATAACAGTAGAATTCGTCTTTTCTACCACATAGTGCTTTTGTAGGTATTTACTATTTAGTTGTTTTTGTCGATAAAAAAAAATGGTTTTTAAAATATAGAAAAACTTTTCTTTAAAATCACTAAAAAATGTATATCAACTTAAAATTGTTTGGGCCCCTTTCATTTTGGTACTTGAGAGGGCCCAGGGGCTTCCGCCCCGTCTAGACCCCCCCTTAATCCGGTCTTCATCCTGACAGGAAACACGTATATAATAATTCGCCGTACACGGCTACCGGGCAACCGTTCTACCAGCAACACCCACACGCGACAGGATTTGTTAACATTTCCTTTGCCAACATTTGTGCGGTCATCGTTTTAAATTTCATCGTATATAGCCTGCTAAATCTGCAATATAAAATATATAATTAATATTGTAATATTTTATATTTATGAAGCGATACTAGCTATTAAGCTTTTTGAAAAATTACACCAGCTGTACACCATCATTATCTAAATTACGATGATGTGAGTAGTATGAAATAGCCGGTTCTGGCTCCCCCGCGCTTCACCCCCCTCCCGCCCTGCCACCATGCGCGCCACCCCCTCCCCCACTCCCCCCGTCTATACTGTGCTTCCCACCCCACTCCCCCCGCCTACACTGCGACTCCCTGCGACTCCCTCCCCCACTCCCCCCGCCTTCACTGCGACTCCCTGCGACTCCCTACGTCATCCTGCGACTCCCTCCCCCTCTCGGAATGGCTCTCGGAATGACGGAACGTGACGTTCAACTGCGACTAGACGGGGATATGTCGCTCGCCGAGTTAATCGATACCACCGATTTCGTCATAGACTTTATCGGTCGCAAGTCTATCAGCATAGGGCTCGACCCGTCTAGAGATTTCGACGTATCCATCAGGATAATCACGCCGTCGCGGTTCGTATGTATAACAGCTGATTTTCTGCGACGCCTTTACTCGTTGATGGGGCATATTCTATCGATTATAACCGATCCGCCGGTTAAAAGCCTCGAGAAACTGTTACTCCGGGACGAGACGATTACACTGTGCAAAATTAGTTATCGCGGCAATAACATGCTGGTAATCGAATCCCACCGCCAGAAAGGACGTCGTGTATTATTGAGCAGACGAAATCTATTAAAGCTCCAAGACATGCAGTGGATTATCAACGAGGTTATCGCCCAAAAATCTAACATTATACGTCACATGGTGATGGGACAAACTGATCTTATGGCCGCATATTTATACGCAAATATACCGGCGGAAAAATCTTCGTCAGTCGAAGAAATTACAGCGATCATATGCAATATCCACAGCGATTTATCGACACTCAATATCGTCCCGAAAAATGAATACAGTTTCGCGAACCAGATCAAATTGTTTGCGCACAAACAACTCGCCGAGTGTTGGCACAAGAAAATGCGCGAAGACGGTACAGCTGGCGGCTATCCGATCAACGACGATGTCACCGCCGCCGCAGCCACCGCTGACGTCATCGAATGGGTAATATATTATTATATTATATTATACTATATTATAAATTATAATATACCGTACGTTATTTTTTACAGCCGATCAGACTCGAAGAAATTGACGGGTCAGCGATGTTTTCTTATACAAACTATTGATGTGCCGCTGTCCACCGAATTCCACGCGGTTCATTCAACCGCCGGCGCCAGGGATATAGGAAATATAGTCGACTAGGCATAATATAATATACTATATATATATATATATATATATATATATATATGTATACGTTGTTATATTGTTACACAGCGCCGCATTCATATCATTGCGCGTTACTTGTATAATTGTGAAATAAGATTTCTTATATCTATTACTATATACATAGACTGTCAAAATCACTGTATAATATATTATGATATTATATAGCAAAAAACAAAACGCGTTATATTTATTATTATTATTATTAGTATTTATTCCACAAGCATTATTAATACGGATATCAGATATCGTACGATA